ACCTATCCACCGCTGCCCACTGGATGGGGGGCGGTGTGCAGGACAAACATATAAATTGTGACACTAGCTCTCCACATATGTCTGTTGCTTAGTTTAGAACCTGTACTTGAGGTCGATCTCGAACCCATTGTTGATGTGACGACTTATATTGAATTTTGTAACTAGCTCATCAAGATTGTAACTTGCTTAGCTAAATGAATTGTGGGGTTCAGTCCCTGAGCCCATTATGTGCCTCTGTAACCCTTTCCACTACCGCCCACAAGATGGGTATGGGGTGCATAATAAATGAACTAAACTAAACTATTAGTGGCTTTAGGTATTGTATGTACTAGCTCTATCTATAATTCCACCATTATGTTTGTAACTCATCTTCTATGTATGTACTTTTACCCGAATAAACATTTGAATTTGAGTTTTGAGGTAATAGGAAATGTGCCCAGCCAATTCTGTCCCGCTAAGAATTCGAACCCAGAATTCTTGATTATGCGTCCAGAACGAACGCGACTGTACTACCGGGATACAAAAAATACTATCCCTACTAACTACTGTAATTTAGTCCCCCTGTAATTTTACAAATGAAATTATAATTGTGCAAATTACATTTTACAAATGAAATTATTATGAAATTAATATATTAAGAGAACATGGCCCCTGACTGATATACTGTAGTTTTGCCTGTTGTTTGGTGCTGCTCTTTTGACGTTTTCTTCGATAAAGAACCGATTCGTTTTCTTCATTAAGATAATGTTATCGGCCCAATTTTTCCTTACTAGCTGCAATTGCAAAATATTCGAGAGAATAATCCTAAACCAATGATGGGGAGATGGTTTAGAATAACCAATGATAACCAAATAAACCAATGATGCACATTCCTTCCATGCTTCATGCATGGAAGGAGTGTGCATCATCATCTTTCTTACCCTGCACACTGAAAAGTCATATACCACCTTCCTAGATCTCAAGTCTGCTTTTGATATTGCAAACCTACATGTTATCTTGAGTGAGCTTGCGAAAATGAATATTGGTGGTCGGCTTCTTTGTTGGATCAAGGTTTACTTATCCAACAGGAAGTCATCTGTATTTTTCCACTCACATCCTGTGAGTGAACACACCGCCATAGTGACAGTATTGGGCAGCGTCACTCATCCTGTGAGTGGACACACCGCCATAGTGACAGTATTGGGCAGCGCCACTCATCCTGTGAGTGGACACACCGCCATAGCAGCATGTACAACCCCCCCCCCAATAGGAAGAAAACTCCCTGGGTTGTTTATCCTGTCACTTATACCCAGACACAGCTGGGACTTGCTTAACTGTCTCAAGTAAACAACTTATCAAACAAGAAGATTAACATTTGTCAACCTTTAAAAACTTACGTTAAAATGGTGTAAAATGGGGAAATCTTTTGAGAACAGCATTTGTATTTGACAGGTGGTATTTTCCTAACTCAAACAATGTAGGGTTTACTATTCTACACACACACATTTCTAATGTCTCTAGATATTCACATTCTCTCAGGTAGTGGTCAAGGCAGTGTCTGTCACTCTCACCACAAATTCTGCAACTCCACTGCTCAGCTGTGATCGTGTTACTGAAATGTCAAACTGTTATAAAAATACTTAGGCTAGCTCATCCTAACCTTTGCACAAAAACCCTACAAAATTTCTTTATTGATGGTCAACATTGTTCCAAATGGATAACTAAAACTGGAAATGAACTTAGAATGTATCTGATTTAAAATTTGTATCAAGAGACAACAACGGCACTTTCCTGCATCGAGGGAGATTACATCCTGTCGAATTTTAATCCCTCCCTTTCCACCCAAGAAGCAAATTAGAGCTCAACCCAAGCTTCGTCTTGAGCCAAAGCTCAACGCCCTAAGGCATACTGATACTCTGTCCACAGAGCATTCTCTCTCTCAAATCATATACACTGATGGTTCCCTATACCGTTCCACGGGTGCAGGTGGAAGTGCAGTTGGACGATGGCTTATATTTTGAGTGGAAAAACCTTATAAACAACTGGGCCTCTACCCTTCAGACCAAACTATTTGCCTTGCTTCTCGCACTGAAATGTGTACAAGGCTCCAAACTTGATATATTTATTGTAAGTGACTTTTATCATCATTAAATAGTCTCAACTCTTTAAGATATAACTGTAACATGCTCGTGTTTGAAGCTAAACACAAATACAACAACATTATTAATGATAGTAACAGAGTCCATTTCATGTGGACATCTCAAACTAAACGCTGTCGAGAGCAGGTCGCCCCTGACCTCCCATAGGTTACAACCAACAACAGTTGCCTAACTCCTGGGTACGTATTTTACTGCAAGGTGAACATAGCCATCAGGTGAAAGGATACGAGTGTAACCCGGGCAATCCCCGTGGTAAGAACACTCGTCCGGCGCTTCGCGGGAGCTTTGGCTTGTGTTTGTATCCTGGCCGGGGAGGATTGACTGGGCACCAATCTTTCATTACCTGTTCACGCAGCAGTGAATGGGTGCCTGGTTGTTAAACCATTTGGCGGATCGTATTCAGGAGAAAATTAGGATTAAAGACCTGCCCGAAATGCTATGCGTGCTGGTGGCTTTATAAGAATGTAAGAACTCTTGTATATATAAATAAATGGACAACAGGTAGTGATTCAGTTGTATAAATCTCTGGTGCGCCCTCACTTGGGTTACTGTATCCAAGCATGGAGACCTCTTCTTCAGAAGGACATAACTGTTCTGGCGAAAGTGCAACACCGGGCAACACAAATTATTCCAGAGTTAAGTCAACGCGCGTATCAGGAACGGTTGAGGGCCACAGGGCTAACAACACTGCAAACCAGGCATGGCAGGGCGGATCTCATGGAAACTTTCAAAATACTACTGAATAATTTAGAGGGTGTTGATCTAGACAATTTCTTCAAAAAGTCAGATAATAATAATAATAATAATAATAATAATAATAATAATAATAATTCCTAGTGTCGAGGGACAGGAGGCCAGAGTGTATTCATACACGTTAGGCTTATATCAAGGGACAAATTAATGACCCCGTCCAGGAGGCAACCGCACAACAAGCTGACTAACTCCCGAGTACCTACTTACTGCTAGGTGAACAGGCGCATTAGGTGATAGGAAATGCTCCCAACCATTTGTCTCGCCCGGGATTTGAGCCAAGAATTCTCGATTGTGAGTCGAAAAATAACCCCATTGAACTACCGGGACCTTTCAAGTACCAACAAGGAGCAATGGTTTCAAGCTCAACAAGCCACAATGCAGGACTGAGAACAGGAGATGCTTTTTCACCCGCGGGATATAAACCCATGGAACCGCCGGAGCCGTAAATGCCAAAACTGTTAAATTTTAAAATCAGCTGGAAAAAATCACCAGGGTAAATGGAGAGGGGGGGGGGAGGACCTTTGACTTTGTGTAATGGCCTTTGACAAGCCGCCAGCTTCCTGTCCTTGTCAAGGCAACAAACGTTAATGTCCCTCATGTGAATTCAGATAAATTCAATCCTATAATATGCAGCTCCAGCGTGGAGTCCGTAACTAGGCAAGCATAAACCTAAATTGGAGAAGGTTCAAAGGTATGCCACCAGAGTAGTCCCGGAACTGAAGGGTATAAACAAATACTGAAGTATTTGTTTATACCCAACTGAAGTTGGGTATGTACTGAAGGGTATAATCTACGAGGAGAGACTACCGGAACTAAAACCTCACGTCGCTGGAAAACAAGATTTAGGGGGGAGACATGATCACATAATGGGGACCTGACGGCTAAGTGGACAACGCTCAGCATTTGTAGTCCTAGGGTCTGGGGATCGATCCCCGGCGAAGGCGGGGATAGATCGATATACAAATGGGCAGAGTTTCTTTCACCCTGATGCTGCTGTTCATCTAGCAGTAAATAGGTATCTGGGAATTAGACAGTTGCTATGGCCTGCTTCCTGTGTGTGTGTGTGTGTACTCACCTAATTGTGCTTGCGGGGGTTGAGCTTTGGCTCTTTGGTCCCGCCTCTCAACTGTCAATCAACTGGTGTACAGATTCCTGAGACTACTGGGCTCTGTCATATCTACATTTGAAACTGTGTATGGAGTCAGCCTCCACCACATCACTGCCTAATGCATTCCATCCGTTAACTACTCTGACACTGAAAAAGTTCCTTCTAAAGGAACTGTGTGTGTGTAGAAACAAAATATGTTGATTGACAGTTGAGAGGCGGGTCCAAAGCGGGCTGAACCCCCTCAAGCACACTAGGTGAGTACATTTTTTTTATCAGTTAATTGACAGTTGAGAGGCGGGACCAAAGAGCCGAAACTCAACCCCGGCAAGTACAACTAGGTGAGTACATAAAGATTGTGAACCCGATACACCTTCAGTTTCGCGTTCTACGTATTGAGAGTGACATGAAACGTATTTTACGTATTGCCACGAAAGGGCGTCCATCGTATATAACTGTACTTTATAGTTATCAAATTTTAAGATACCTTGTATTACTAAATGTATATTGCAATGTGAATATAAAAATAATTACTAATTGTGTATTATAGTGACATTTGAAATTAATAATGATATTAAAATAGAACCTGCCCCCACCACCACCCCCAACAGATGGGCTGACACAAAACGTTTTGTGCATAGTTCATGTTGCCAATACAAATATTAGCCACCATAATATTTAATACATCTCACAATATATATGTATAACACAAGTCATTCATCAGTATTGTATAAATGAGGTGGACATTATAAAGCACAATAATAGTGAGGGTGTAGAGGGGAGAAGAGAAGATAAAAGTGTAAGAGAGTGTGGCAAGTGACGGCAGGCGGCGACGGAGCACAACCAGTCTTGGTCCTCTCCTGCCACGGTCCACACCTGCAGGCCAGGCTACACCTACACACCTACACCAACACTGGGATATTTGTTGTGGCAGGGTGTCCTGTGTACTGCAGTGTGTACAGTAAGCTATTCTTGAAAGGTGTGAAGCCCGGAAGACACAAACGGGAGTGTGTGAAGGCAGACTGGTGGAACAAGATGGCTGGCCCGAACTAGAGAGCTATTATGTATACTCTACGGTGCTCTACTGGAGTATACCGAGCACAGTAACCACCGTTGTCAGTGTTTAGTGGTAGCCAGGCTGTGGTCTCGCGCCTCCACACCTCACTCTCAATACTGTCTTGCTCAATACACAGGAAATGTGCGCAGTTAAAGTGCTACAAATAATATAATAATTCATTATTATGAACACAGTCCACCGGGACTGTAAGTAGTCCCCGTAGCGAAGTGGTAAGACATTCGCCTAGTGTTTCACAAGCGCCTTGGCCTTGGGTTCGTATCCTGGCCGGGGAAGATTGACTGTAGCCTCCCTTTACCCAACAGTAAAATGGGTACCTGGTTGTTAAACCATTTAGCGGGTCGTATTCCGGGGAACATCATGATTAAGGACTTGCCCGAAACGCTTTGCGCACTAGTGGTTGTATAAGAATATAAGAACTCTTCTATAAATATAAATATAACAACAAATTGTTGGGGTGGCGACAGGCAGCCATTATATATACATTTAACTTATTGAACATATTTTCAATATTTTGTGGAGTGTGAACAGTAACTAGGGGGTGACCTTGCAGGGTGACCGCTGGCCTGGCAGGAAGGTGCCACAACAAAGATCATTTTTAATTAATGCGGCGGAGTGCGCACTGCTGTACACGTCCCAAACGTGGGGCGTGTGTGACGTCACAGCATCCGGGGAGGATATACTGTAATCAGACAATATCTGAAACGTTTGGTGCAGGGCGGGGAGCAGCGTCCGTGGCCGTGGGCCCCACACCTCAGCGTAGATTCACAAAGCAGTTACGCAAGCACTTACGAACGTGTACATATTTTCTGTCTTTGACGGCTTTGGTTACATCTATTAAACAGTTTACAAGCATGGAAACTTTCCAATCAACTGTTGTTATTGTTATAAACACCATCCTGGGAGCTCATTAACTTTAATAATTGTAAACAAAGCCGCCAAAGATTGAGAAAAAATGTACAGGTTCGTAAGTGCGTAACTGCTTCGTGAATCTGGCCCCTGACGCTCTCGTTGGTAGCAGGTGTGGTGGGTGATTGAGGGGAGATGACGATCCAGAGAATGTTGATTTTATTTATAAGAAGGTACATTGGGTGGGTTTATGAGAGTACATAGCATTGATGTTCTTACATTCTTGTAAAGCCACTAACGGGGGATTGCGTTTCGGGCAGGTCCTTAATCTAACAGATAAATTTAAGTAGGTAATTTATAGCAAAATTGAGAAAGAAATAACAGGAATATTGTAAAAAAAACTTTTAGAAGATTGGTACGTACATTAGAGTAAAATTGGAGGATTATCAACAGGTACTTTCTAGCATAATTTGAGGATTATTTTTAGCTATAGTGTAGTGAAATTTGCATTCAACATAACCATGATATAAGATGATGGGAGTTATTACAATGGTGAAATTATGTGGCTTAGGCATATATTTTGGAGTAACACAAGATAGTGTGATTGTGAAGCACTAGGAAGAAAACTATGAGGATGAAATTAGGTACTAGTACTTTTAGGTGTTACTTTTGAATGGGTAAGTTGGACAGCTTAAAATTTTAATCCGTTAGGGAGCAAGTTCCATAGACTAGGTTCCTTTATTTGCATAGTGTTTACACAGATTTAGTTTGACTCTGGGGATATCATAGATATTTATTTAAAGTATGGTGATTATGGGTTCTATTACATCTCGAGGAAGAGTTTCAGATCAGGATTTGCATATAGGAACAAGGTTTTGTGCATGTAAATGGCACAAGAGAATGTGTGAAGTGAGTTTATGCTTAGCATGTTGAGGGATTTAAACAGGGGGGCTGTATGTTGTCTTAAAGCAGAGTTTGTTATTGTCCTGATAGATTTTTCCTGGGTGATGATAGGCTTGAGGTAGTTTGCAGTGGTTATACCCCATGCACAGATACTGTATGTAAGATAGGGATAGATTAGTGCATAGTATAATAAGAGAGCAGAGTAGAGTTTGGTACTGACAGGATTTTAGACTTTTCTGGTTATACAGTATGTTGTATTTATTTATTTATTTATTTATTTATGCATATACAAGAATGTACATAAGGAATGTGCGGATACAAATATGGTAATTACAGTCTTGTAAAGCCACTAGCATGCGCAGCGTTTCGGGCAGGTCCTTAATCTAAGAAAATTTTAAGGAGGTAAATACTTGCAAAATTTATAGACAAAAAATGATAACAGATTACATGAAATGAAAAAAAAAAAAAAAAAAAGATGAGAGAAAATTGTAGGTACAGTATATTAAAGCACATAGGTAGCTAAGATTGATTGCAATGACAGCTTAAAATGGTAGTTGACAACAAATTGGTAGGCACAATACAGCAGAAACAATATAAGATTGATTGCAATGACAGCTTGAATGGTAGATGACAAAAATTGGTAGTCACAATACAGCATATGGCTAGCACATAAAAGAAGACAGCAATGAACACAATGATAATGTTGTTTGATATTACATAAAAATTAGGAGATTGGGTAACACTAGGTACAGAGCAAATTTAAAGCTCAGTGTAGGAAACTTAAGAAGATGAAGTTAGGTACTTTTTGGTTTTGCTTTTAAATAAGGCAAAAGTTTTACAGTTTTTCAATTCACTAGGGAGTGAGTTCCATAGACTAGGTCCCTTAATTTGCATAGAGTGTTTACAGAGATTAAGTTTGACCCTGGGGATATCAAAGAGATATTTATTTCTGGTGTGGTGATAATGGGTCCTATTACATCTGTCCAGGGAGAGTTTCAGAGCATGGTTTGCATTTAAGAACAGGGTTTTGTAAATGTAGTTGACACAAGAGAATGTGTGGAGGGAGTTAATATTTAGCAAGTTTAGGGATTTAAACAAGGGAGCTGAGTGTTGTCTGAAAGCAGAGTTAGTTATAATGGTGCTGAAGTTGAGGGTGAGGTTGAGGAAGTATGTGGGTGCTGAAGTTGAGTCTCTTGTCTATGTATAGGCCAGGGAACTTTCCATCATTTTCATTGCTGATGTTAACATTGTCTATCTGAAGCTGAATTCCATTTGTTGATTTGCTTCCAAATATAGGTCTTTTCTATGTTTAGTGTGAGTTTGTTGACATCCATGAGTGGACTTTTTTAAATTGGCTATTTACAATATTATTTAGTGTATGTGGGTTGGGGTCTGAGTAGATGAAGGTAGTATCATCAGCAAATAGTATAGGTTTAAGAATATTAGAGATATTATGCAAATCATTGATGTATATAAGAAATAGGAGAAGTCCTTGGATAGGTAGTGCCCTGTGGCACTTCTACAGTTAATGGTAGAGTAGGGAAAGTTACAGTATATCATTGCTGGCTACATATTGGTGTCTATCATTAAGATAGGACTGAATATAGTTCAGGGCAAGGCTTAAGATTCCATAATGGTGAAGTTTAAGTAAGAGGTAGTTATGGTTAACAGTATCAAATTCCTTTCTTAGGTCAATGAAGAGTCCAGTTAGGAACTCAATTTTGTAAAGTGCTGTGTAAATTATATCAAGCAGACTAACAATTGCGCCATTGGTATTCTTTTGGGAGCGGAGGCCAAATTGACGGGGACTTAGTACAGTGTGTTGAATTTTACGAGGAAGGGGTAGAGCTGTTTATAGTTAATTATTTAAATACTTTTGATAATATAGGTAGATTTGATATTGGTCTGTAATTGTTATGTCTGCCGTATCACCTCCTTAATGAACTGGCACTACTCTTGCTGTTTTAAGGATATCAGGGAAAGTATGACAAGAAATTTATTGAATACAGAGGTATGGGTGGTGCAAGGGCATGGGAGGCACTCTCGTATACCATAGATGATATTTCACTAATGTTCCCAGCTTTGGTTTTTAGTGAGTGAATGATAGATATGTTTGTCGGGCTGACTGGTAAAAGAAGTGTTTGGATAGCTGTCTGTAAGATATGTAGTAACATGTGTTGTAGAGGCTTACTGTCTATTGCTGCTTCACTGTGTAGCCTGAAGGTAGATTTCATGGTATCTGGCGGTGTTATGTCCATGTTTGCCATGAGGAAGGTGGATAGTAGTCAATTGTTCTGTCAGTGATTATATGAGTGGTGGGGTGGGCTTGGTGATTGTGGGGATTAGCATTCAGGAGTTCATGCTGATTAGGAAATAATTGACATGAGGGCTATTTTGTTGACAAAGTCAATATTGAAGTCACCTAGAATAAGATTTTTGTTGAGCTTGTTTATGATAAGATTCTTTAGGTTTTCTGGGAATGCAGTTAATATTAGTATTGGGGAGCCAAAGGAATCCTCGTGAGTGTAGTAGTACCCCAGATTGCACTCCTGTTGACCATGTTGTGGCATAGTTGTCTGGAGTGTGCCTGGGAACACCAAGTGCATAGGTTCGATCCCTCATCATGGCTCCTTTTCCTCATTGATGCATCACGTTAGTGTGGTTACTCTGTATTGCTAGCAATAGTAATACCAGTTTGTTGAGAATGGATGACCCAGTGATAAGTGGCCTTCCTCCATAGTACAGTAATATAAATGCTAGATGAAATAGTGTAGATTCTAACACTGCCTACAAGTTATCAGTATCATCACAAGTACAGTACCACCACTTAAAAAAAAAAATTATATATATATATTCTGCCATGTCCAGATATAATGGTCTGAGGTTGCCCCTCTATATCTGCTATCATAACATGTATTTTATTTGATGTACTGAAGACCTTATAATTATCACCCTGACTGCCCACAACAGTTGTTCAACTGCTGACTACCTATTTTACTGCGAGGCAAACGTAGACGTAAATTATAAGGAAATTTAATCCGGGTCTCTCAATTGAGCCATGGACAAAGGGTCCTGTAGTACACTGGTGTACTAGATTATGTAAAAAGATTTGTTTTTCATATTAAATATATTTCATAGTAAAGAATCTATGCAAATGTAAAAAATATACCAATGTGTGTGTGTGTGTGTATCATTTTTAATAAACATTTTGTCTTTCAGGTAGTGTAAAATGTCACTATCTTGTTGATAGATAGCCTGCAGCAGAACACACTTTATGGATTAGTAGTGCAGTCACATAGTCTGACATAACTTTAGAGACAGTGAAAAAGTGAACAAGCAATACTGTAGTAGTTGGCAAGACCACCCCATCCAACAATTTTACTGGAGACGGACCTGAATAAGCAATAATAGTTGACGAGACCACCTGCCTCCCCCCCCCAAAAGACACACGCCGTCTAAATTCACAGTAACTATATGTACAAATGTATAATTAAGTGTAAAGTTCCACTTTTGTCAGTTGTCAGTATCCAAATGAAAACAAATTGAAAAAATTATTCCTTCTTATTCTTGCACGTGTGTGTGCAAGTGCTTTGAAAAGGCTGAAAATTAGCAAACTTCTTTCCTGACAAGTGCACATGTCAAGTAGACAATAACTGATCATAAGATAAGAGCACTAGTTGGTATATAGTGTTCTCATAAGCAGCATATTCCATTTAATTGGATTATTTAGTTTTCCCAAGTTAATCTTCTAAAATGGTTGCTCCACATGACACAGGTGACTTGGTAAGATCCTTAGTACGTGTCCCAGGCAGTGGGTATAACAGAACTGCTGGTTCGGTTTGTTTCGACTTGGGCAGAACATCCACTTTGGCTGCTACAGTTCCTGTGTCCCCAGTATTACCCCCTGCATTGACAGGACCCAGGACAGCACAGTCAGCTGGACCCAGTATTTCCCAGAAACACCAGCTGAATGCAAGCAGTAAGCTAGGAAGCAACATTGGAGTAAATTCTGGAATATTGAAAACTGGAGCAGCAATTCCATCTTCCACAGTAGCAACCTCCAGGAAGCGTCCTTGTCCCCAAGAACCCAGTGTAGAAAATACCAGTCCCGTAAATGCTGAAAGCAGTGCCACAGGGAATAGGCAACCCATAACAATGGAGGGATTACTTGCAAGCAAACGGGCTCGTATTGTGTGCTTGACCCCCCAACAGGTTGCTGAACATAGCAGGAACATAGTCCAAGTGTCAACACCCTCAGGTCCCATGTTGTTTCTGCCACTTCCTCAGCAGTTACTTGCCAATACACCAGTTGGGTTGACCCCAGCAACAATTGCACAATTATTGCAGGAGAGGAATAATCTGAGGCAAGAAAACCAAGTTCTTCAACAGCAACTGTCACTTTTTCAGCAACTCTTTAGAAACAAGGAAAGACTAACTTCTGTTGTTAAGCGACTGGGAGTCAATGTTGCATAAATAATTCACTAATAGTAATGAAGGTGTGTATGATGATGTAATTGTCTAATCTCTATATTTAAAAAAAGTTGCTTGGTCAAGGGTCATTGTATGACCAGTCTTTATGCTCTCTACTCCATTCAGCATCTAACATGGCCTAGTAACTCTACACCTTCTGTCCTAAGTGGAAAGGCTGATCATACAGATTTTATGTTTATAAATTATGTTAAAAGTTACCATAAGTTTTCAAGAAGGAACGGACAGGTTTTGCAGGACGTTCATTAGTAGAGTTGTGATAGCTACATGGCTACAAATTGTGAAAACTTCATAATTTAGGCTATCACTGGCCTGGCCTAGGTTGCAAGAGTAGAAAACTTAAAACCAGTCACCAGCATGCTTTAGTCCACATTCTCATGGAAGCATTACTGTACATGATGAAATCTGGTACAAATACATACTGTAGTTGATGAACTTTATTTTAACTTAGAATATTGAGCATATTTTACAATTGCCCATTCCCAAACTTTAAAATTATATTTTTGTTTTCTAAATTATTTCTTAAATCATTCTTCTTCTTTCAATGGTCTAGGTACAGTAATTATCTTCTTGGATATGTGCAAAATATTTATGATGTCTTCATAGCTTTCACTGTTACTGTGCAGGGAAGAGATAATGTCCATAAGTGAAGGTCAAAAGAAAAAGGATAAATTAATTATCCACAAGGACAATCTGTATGGGCAGTAACGAGGAAGGATGGGTCAGTATATATGTACCTTGATCATTGTTATTAGAATAAAAAATTTCATAACCAATATTTCTCTTGGTAAAATTGAAGTAGAGAAGAAAGGCTGTGTTAAATACTGGGAACTATAGAGAATAGGAAAGAATAGACAGGCTGTTCATACATGAATTTCTCAAATTACCATCCCTGATGTTGATCGTTGCCAAGAGAAATTATTGAACTGTTCTCCGATGAATCGGACCAGCCAGTTCTGTCATGGGTTGTTTCCATGATGATATTTGATAATTCTTTTCATTTTGTAAAGTCATGGGTTGTTCCCATTATAATTTACAGTACTAATTTTTTTTTAAATTTTAAGCCAATAATTTAATGGGCCATTTCCATGACTATCTAATCATTCTCATTTAGAGAACCTACATGGGTTCTTTCTATGTTTCTAATACTTCTCTACACCATCATGGGATGGTAAAGGATAACTTCCTCTGGTGCCTTTGTGGGTTGTTTCCATGATGGTATCTGCTAATTCTCTTCCCCTGGTGCCTTCATGGGTTGTTTCGATGATGGTATCTGATAATTCTCATCCTCTGGTACCTTCATGGGTTGTTTCCATGATGGTATCTGCCAATTCTCTTCCTCTGGTGCCTTCATGGGTTGTTTCCATGATGGTATCTGCTAATTCTCTTCCTCTGGTGCTATCATGGGCTGTTTCCATGATGGTATCTGCCAATTCTCTTCCTCTGGTGCTATCATGGGTTGTTTCCATGATGGTATCTGATAATCCTCTTCCTCTGGTGCTGTCATGGACTGTTTCCATGATGGTATCTGCCAATCCTCTTCCTCTGGTGCTGTCATGGACTGTTTCCATGATGGTATCTGCCAATTCTCTTCCTCTGGTGCTATCATGGGCTGTTTCCATGATGGTATCTGCCAATTCTCTTCCTCTGGTGCTGTCATGGGTTGTTTCCATGATAGTATCTGATAATTCTCTTCCTCTGGTGCTGTCATGGGTTGTTTCCATGATAGTATCTGATAATTCTCTTCCTCTGGTGCTGTCATGGGTTGTTTCCATGATGGCATCTGAAAATTCTCTTCCTCTGGTGCTGTCATGGGTTGTTTCCATGATAGTATCTGATAATTCTCTTCCTCTGGTGCTATCATGGGTTGTTTCCATGATGGTATCTGATAATTCTCTTCCTCTGGTGCTGTCATGGACCGTTTCCATGATGGCATCTGAAAATTCTCTTCCTCTGGTGCTGTCATGGGCTGTTTCCATGATGGTATCTGAAAATTCTCTTCCTCTGGTGCTGTCATGGGTCATTTCCATGATGGTATCTGATAATTCTCTTCCTCTGGTGCTGTCATGGACTGTTTCCATGATAGTATCTGATAATTCTCTTCTTCTGGTGCTGTCATGGGCTGTTTCCATGATGGTATCTGAAAATTCTCTTCCTCTGGTGCTGTCATGGGTTGTTTCCATGATGGTATCTGCTAATTCTCTTCCTCTGGTGCTGTCATGGGCTGTTTCCATGATGGCATCTGAAAATTCTCTTCCTCTGGTGCCTTCATGGGCCGTTTCTGCCAATTCTCTTCCTCTGGTGCTGTCATGGGTTGTTTCCATGATGGCATCTGAAAATTCTCTTCCTCTGGTGCTGTCATGGGTTGTTTCCATGATGGCATCTGAAAATTCTCTTCCTCTGGTGCTGTCATGGGTTGTTTCCATGATGGCATCTGAAAATTCTCCTCCTCTGGTGCTGTCATGGGTTGTTTCCATAATAGTATCTCATAATTCTCTTCCTCTGGTGCTGTCATGGGTTGTTTCCATAATAGTATCTCATAATTCTCTTCCTCTGGTGCTGTCATGGGTTGTTTCCATAATAGTATCTCACAATTCTCTTCCTCTGGTGCTGTCATGGGTTGTTTCCATAATAGTATCTCACAATTCTCTTCCTCTGGTGCTGTCATGGGTTGTTTCCATAATAGTATCTGCTAATTCTCTTCCTCTGGTGCTGTCATGGGTTGTTTCCATAATAGTATCTCATAATTCTCTTCCTCTGGTGCTGTCATGGGTTGTTTCCATAATAGTATCTCATAATTCTCTTCCTCTGGTGCTGTCATGGGTTGTTTCCATAATAGTATCTCACAATTCTCTTCCTCTGGTGCTGTCATGGGTTGTTTCCATAATAGTATCTCATAATTCTCTTCCTCTGGTGCTGTCATGGGTTGTTTCCATAATAGTATCTCATAATTCTCTTCCTCTGGTGCTGTCATGGGTTGTTTCCATAATAGTATCTCACAATTCTCTTCCTCTGGTGCTGTCATGGGTTGTTTCCATAATAGTATCTCATAATTCTCTTCCTCTGGTGCTGTCATGGGTTGTTTCCATAATAGTATCTCACAATTCTCTTCCTCTGGTGCTGTCATGGGTTGTTTCCATAATAGTATCTGCTAATTCTCTTCCTCTGGTGCTGTCATGGGTTGTTTCCATAATAGTATCTCATAATTCTCTTCCTCTGGTGCTGTCATGGGTTGTTTCCATGATAGTATCTGCTAATTCTCTTCCTCTGGTGCTGTCATGGGCTGTTTCCATGATGGTATCTAATCTTTCGTCCTCTGGTATCTTCATGGGCAATTTCCATGATGGTATTTTATGTTTTTTCATCCTAGTTTGCCAGACTTGCGAGTAATTACCCAATATTACATTTTTATGTACAGTATATATAATATACAGTCTTATATTAGGAAAGTCGTTCTTTAAGATCAAGCTTAAGGTAAAAATGATTTTTTTTTGTAAAGTACAGGTATTTGTAATGTACACAATACTTAAAATATGGAACTTTAGCTTGAGTGCAGATTTTAATCCTTAATAACCTACTATAAACATTGGCACAGTATAATGTCTTTGCTTTAGTTTGTAGATACAATTTTATGTTGCTACCAATAAATTTCTTAGGATCAAAGGACTTGCATTTACCAGGTGGATCACATACCATTAAAATTTATACATAAGTGGTATAATATGCCACACAAAACGAGTTATTTATTTTTGTCTCTTGATATTGTCTGAATAGTTGTCAATTTTAAAAGGTCACTGCACAGTACAGTATTCAATGATACAGGTTGAAATGTAAACCTTTCACTTCATCAGTTGAAATGAAATCTGGCTGTTCCTGCTTAGACTAAGAGGAGACTTCAGTGATTGTAGTCTGGACTCTGTGCTGAAGATGGGAATCTTTACCACAATAGCAAATGTTGAGGTCTTTAAGATATAGCATGGAATAAACACCATCCAGTGCAACTGAAGACTAAAGGATATAGCACTGCCTTTGGGAGGTGCCTTCATATTGCCAGTAAGTGGCAAGAGCTGTTCCAAGGCAAACTCTTAACAAACAAAATTATTAATATTGTGGGAACATTGTTGAGTCAGACTATTTCATTTACCATTTGGATCTTTATAAAATAAAATCAATCTTTTTATTATAGAATACATATATATATATTTTTTTTACAATAAGAGAGCCAAGTTAACATTTATCAATAAATTACCAGATCGACTTGGCACAAATAAAATAAAGCTTAAAAAAATTATCACAATTTAGATAATAGGATGTGAATAATTGTCTAAAAGTTATCCAATTGTTGATCACTTACAAAGTTCAGTAATTTGGATTTATTTCAATTCTTAAATAAATCACCATCATACCTTTTGACTTCAATAGGAGACATTACAGGCCACTTCAACATTTGATACCTAGCACAACAATGATATAAGGGCATCAAAAAACTTGCTGCGATCATCTACACTCAGCCGGATAACTGTGAAGGTAAATCATTATTAACTTACAAATTTGTGTATGATTAGAAAATAGAATGCTGAAATTTTTACATGAAAGTCTGTCTACACACTACACTAATGGTATCAAATAGTACTGTGTAAAGCATATTTTTGTACAACATTTACCATCTATTTTTCTATACTGTACACAAATATAAATTGGCTTGGTGCCCAGTCATATTGATACAAAGGTAGGTGGCATAAGCATGTGAGTAATTATCAAAAGAAGGCACCAACCGGGAAGGTTATGTAGCACCATCAAATGTGTGGAATAATCAGAGGGTGCTAAATATCACCAAGGATGCCAATACGAGAACAGAAACGCATAAGGCGAACGATATCAAATGTATCCGAGTCGTCAAGAATTCTATCGAGGGACAAGCGACCGCGGGGAAAGGTCGGAAAACAAGACACACGCTCGTCCTAGAAGTCAGGACATTCAACAAGGATATGCACAACCGTAAGAGGGACAATGCAATTTGGACAATAAGGAGCAGGGCGGCGCTCCATTAAGTGACCGTGAGTTAAACAGGTATGGCCAATACATAACCTAGCCAGAGCAGTTTCCCACTGCTGGTTACGGTGGTAGGATGAAGGCCACTGGGACAAACGACTCTTAAGAGTACGCAGTTTGTTACCAATAACAGAAGACCAACAACTCTGCCAGCGAGCAAGGATGGAGGCACGAATAACTCGGTAAAAGTCAGAATAAGGAATACCTTTACGGGAGATAGGTCAAGTGCGGATAGCTTCCTTAGCGGCAGCATCCGCACGCTTATTTAAAGACACAGCATGGCTAGGAACCCAGCAAAACTCAACCGACTTAAATTTACTGGAGATAAGAAACAGCCAATGTTGAATCTCGTTGACCACCGGGTGGACCGGATTAAAGGACCCTAAAGCCATGAGGGCACTACGAGAGTCGACTACAACCACAAAGGAGGATTGACACCGGGAAAGCAGAAGACGAAGAGCATAGAGAATAGCATAAAGTTCTGCTGTGAAGATGCTAGCCTCCAGAGGAAGGTGACACAAAGTGTGGTCAGGAAAAACAACAGAGTAGCCCACACCCTCAGCAGACTTAGACCCCATTGGTGAAGATGGGAACGGAGTGGAAGCAAGCGAGTAGTGCTCCCGTATTTTTATGGGCAATGAGGCTCGGTTATCAGTGAAAATGTGACATATCCTGGAAGTAACCAAGTTGTTCTAGAGCCCGAGCTAATGTTAATACAGTAGTACTGTATGAGTGGCAGGAAGAGGCATTACTTTTACAATTTTTATTTCTGTGCAAGTGACTGAATCAGCCCAGTGGAAATGTACCAATGATATACTTATTCTGATTCAATGATTAAATTGATTCAATATGACAAACATTCACAGCATACCAGCCTAGCGAGTGAAGTAATAGATATGACATCAATAACCATAAAAAACAACAATTTGAAAATGGCTGATAATAGTGACCAATTACAGTATTAAGGGGAATTTATCAATCTACAATTGTAGTGCCTCAGGCTCCAGGAATCACTATACATCAGAAGTCAATGACTAATAGGCACCATAGAACTAAGTAAACCTTTGTACATATAAAAAGCAAATTAGTTTTGTGCTATCCAAGAATTAAATATACTAATAATACAAGAGTAGTGCAAGTAACAAGATACACTGTCTAGCCTGTCGAGTGGTCACTCCTCTTACCCCACCACACATCTGGGAAGACAAGTGCCTAGCTGGAAGACTAGAGTGAGTAGCCAATATATTTGCGGTAATTGTCTATATGTCAGAGTAAGACTACTTACAGAGAATTCACTCCAGTGTAAGGCGCCAATTGTCAAAAAATATCAGACTTATTATTCAACACATACAACAATGAGCAAGCCAAAAATAACTTTTTTTCTTGCAATATACATGATCAAGTCAATGAACCCAGCACTTCCCCTAAAATACACATGGAGAAATGAGAAGAATAAAGGGAAAATATTTATGACAACAAATTAACTACAAGAGGATCAGAAAAAAATGATGAAACAGCTTGAGGACTTTCAACAATCAATTATTGTGTAGCCATGATAAAGGTACAGGATGATGATTTTCTAAGACTACCTTCAAGGAGATTTTCGAAGACTACCTTCAAGGAGACTACTAAGGACAGAGAGGAATTGCAAAACACCACCTGGAGGGAGTTATCAGATCAATTCATCGAAGCACCACAGGAAAATTTCAAAAAGACCATCATTGAAGTACCGTACTTCAAAAATCTGTGCCAAGGAGGAGAAAGAAAAAGACAAGTACCCCGTGGATGGATGAGAATCGGTAAAAAAATAAAAACAAACTAAGTAACCTCTGGAAAAGGTGTTGATCCACAAACATAGATTACGAGATATACAGAAGGGCATTAAATTCAGTCACAAGAAACTATCAAAGAAAACTGGATCTGTTTTGAGCAAATGTCTTTTTATGCCTAGAAAAATGTAAAACAAAGTCAAGAGACTTGACCAAGGCTCATACAAGATGAGACTAACCAATTTATAACTGATGAAACAAGGACAGGCAACATTGAATGAATACTTTTACATCAGTGCTCACAGTAGAAAGATTAGACAATATCCCACCACACACAAATGTTTGAAGCAGGGAAAGACAACGAATTAACAGGTATTCCCATACCATGTGACACAATCAGTACGAGCATTAACAAAGATTCAATAGCCCTAGGTCTTGATGGAATTCAATCCAAAGTATAACTGCCAGTTCATCTGGCAGTTAAAGAAATTACAGCTCAGAATATCTCTAGATCAGGTGTTAGTTTCCCTAGACTGGCAAATGTCACCATTATATATATATATATATATATATATATATATATATATATATATATATATATATATATATATATATATATATATATATATATATATAAATATGACCGAAAAAGTAAGATTAATAATTCTAACACGAATTTTCTCAATCTTTCGTACATTTCTTTTCACTGTTGGAGGTACTGTAATTCAAAAATCAATTCTCCAAAGTTCATTTTTATTTCTAGTCTGACGCGACACTTGAGCGCGTTTCGTAAAACTTATTACATTTTCAAAGACTTTACACATACACAACTGAATAGAACTTACATATCTCCGATTTGTTTATATCTACATTTGAGTGAGGTGGATGGGGTGAGGTGGTATTTAATAGGGTATTAATTTCATCAACACAAGACAGAACACGAAACAATCTTATTAATCTTACTTTTTCGGTCATATTTAATAATATATGTCTACAGGAAAGACTGCTACCAAAATATACTAATATATATATATATATATATATATATATATATATATATATATATATATATATATGTATGTATAAAAAAAAAAGGCAGCAGCAGCTCAGCATATAAGTACCTTCTAATCAGCCTAGCCTCACATACTTGAAAGCTCATGTAGAGAATCATTCACTATCTTACTGTGCAAAAGTTAGTAAAATCAATGCAACATGCTTTTATTAAAAATGAATCCTGCTTCACAATATCCTTCTCACACCTTTGAAAGCAGTAGACATAGTATATATATACATTGACTTCTCTAGTGCTTTTGATAAGGTGTCACATGAAAAACTGACAAAGAAATTACAGGCAAATGGAGTAAGTGGCAGAACCAGGTTAAAACAAAACTGGTTAAAAAAAAAGCAAAAAGTCATCCTAAATGGAAACTAATCTGACTGGAGAAATGTGGTAAGTGGGGTCCAAAGGTCCAGCCTGGGACCAATTTTTTGTTTTCTTATGTCATATACATTAATGACATGAGAACATCACAAGCCACATACATTTAAAAATGACACCAAGATTTATGTTAAAGTAAGAAGTAAACATTATATTGAAGCCTAACATCTACATTAACTCTACACGTGGTTAGAAGATTGGGACATGATTTTTTTAATACTTTGAATATCTTTGCATGTGTGTGGAGCATGTGTATGTGTATGCTTCCTTAACTTCCAGTTGAGGGAGCATAGCACTGACAAAGCTGTATTGGGAATGAGGATGAAACTATCTTCAGGCATGGGAGTAAATAGGAGGTATAGTTGTGCTATATGAACACAATTTAGATAACTCGCAGTACGAAAGTAAAGTGTGCATAATCGCATGCTCCTCTAGAAGCACGATATTCCATGTAGAATTTATTATTTATGATTTAATAACCAGTGGAGGTAATAATGATAATTACTGGATGCCAGCACAAAAATAGAGAAGCAATACACAATTGATGGAAGAATAATAAGATAATATTCCAATTATGCATAACCACATGTGGAGTATACAATTTGTTTGTTAAGGAATGGTGACAGATAAAATTTGAGACTAAAATAATTGTCATCATATTTATATTGTACTTACTGTTTGTATCAAAGAACTCTAACTCTGCTTTTGACCCTGTCTTGTCAGCTGCTTGCTCAAAAGCTTTTCCAAAGAAACTGTGAGACAAAAATAATTCTTTTAATTAATATTGTCTATTTTAAAAGTACTGGAAAAAAACTATGATGAAAGGATATGATGACAATCTTAAGAAATAATAAATATCGAGTATAAATTCATTCTGATCTGATATTTAACCATGGTGAAATAAATAAGGCTAAATATTTACACTATATCCGTGCTTCATAGTTATATACCTGTTCCACACTTTCACGAGATACAGACGCATCATAAACAACTCATAAAATCACATTCAGAAGTCTTCTCTCACATACATTAAAAAATGTTCAACTTCATGAATCTACATAAAGTACCTACTTTTTGCAGTAACCATCATACACACAAAGTTCGAGTTCTTCCATTTATTCTTATTGTAAACTTGGTACGACCTCTATTCAAGATGATCCACACACACATTCAACAATGGAGATACTGTATTATTAATTCGTAAACCATGGAGAGTGTAATTACAGGATGAGACGCTACACTCGTGGTGTAATGTCCTCTCAGCACTGTCATACGATACTTTGAAACTACTGATGGGTTTGGCCTCCTCCACCTTCTTACTTACCTTGTTCCAATCGTCTACCACTCTGTTTGCAAAGGTGAATTTTCTTATATTTCTTCTGCAGCCTTGTTTAGTTAGCTTAAATCTTGCTTATATCTCTTAAATCTTGTTTTTGAAGTTCCAGGTATCAAGAATTCTTCCCTATCAAATTTGTCTTTTCCTGTTACTATTTTTTACGTAGTGATCACATCACCTCTTTTTTTTTCCTTCTATCTTCTAATTTTGGCATATTTTATGCCTCTAACCTCTCACCATCGCTCTTTTCTTTCGTTCCAGGAGCCATTTAGTTGCATGTCTTTGCACCTATTCCAGTTTGTTGATGTGCTTCTTAAGATGTGGGCACCATGCAACTGTTGCATATTCCAGCTTTGGTCTTACAAAAGTTGTGATTTTTTTTTTTAGTATTTTGCCATCCCTGTATTTAAAAGCATTTCCGAAATTGGAAAGCATAGCATAGGCTTCTCGCACAATGACATTTCTGTGGTCCTCAGGTGATACCTGGTTGATGGGGTTCTGGGAGTTCTTCTACTCCCCAAGCCCGGCCCGAGGCCAGGCTTGACTTGTGAGAGTTTGGTCCACCAGGCTGTTGCTTGGAGCGGCCCGCAGGCCCACATACCCACCACAGCTCGGTTGGTCCGGCACTCCTTGGAGGAATAAATCTAGTTTCCTCTTGAAAATGTCCACGGTTGTTCCGGCAATATTTCTTATGCTTGCTGGGAGGACGTTGAACATTTACATTCAAATAACACCATACAGGTGGTGTTATTTGGCAAGAGAAAAATTAAAAGTAGTGTATATTAGTGTTGAGGATGCCTAAAATTTCCCCATCAGCACCTTTACCTTGTCCTATTTTGTTGAACCAGACCATACTGTCACCTATGCATACCATACATCTAATAAAGCTATGCCTTAGTCTTAAACTGAGATGCAAGATGCAAACTGGCATGTGTAAATTGACATGCAAGCTTCAGAACTGCACATTCTAAAATACATACACTGAGTAACACGCTTTACCATTTTCATAAGATTTAGTACCTTCCTGCCCTAAGGACAATAGCCTTGAAGGTTGAAGAAAAGTTAACAAATCATAAAATTTGAAAAAATTTAGTAACAAAAGTAACAGTTATTACATACTTTATGTTAAATACTGATGATCAATATCAGACAAAATTACAACTAATCATTCCCTCCTAACAAACAGTCTCCACTAAGTTCCCTTCAATGCCACTTTTTTCACATACATACTATTTTCACCAGCACAAAGTGCCAAAAATTAAAATACTTAATGAACAAAATGGGGCATGAAAGTGGATGCAGTAACACTACTCGACTATGACAAAACTTAATGCATTAGCTACTTACTTTCTAGGAGAATCTTCAGAAGTTGGAGGAATACCACAAACAAGACATGTATTTGACTCCGATGACCTAACATCTGGAGTAGTGATGATGAGAGGTAGCGAGCGTGACTTCTTACTGCGAGAGATTGCAACGTGTGCCTTTAAAGTGAAGCGTGCAAGAAGGGACAGACATTGGGGCGCTGCAAAGAATCTAGCGTCTGGGGTACCCTAATAATTAAAGAGAGAAGATCCAATGCATTAAGATTATATTGTAGCTGAAATAAGGAACAGAAATTATTCTCTAAATTCTCTATCTAATACCAGAAAAACAAATATTATAGCTCAAAGTTTATGAGACGAGAAAGCACCATCACTTACCAGAAAAAATAAAAATATGATATTTACAAACTAAAAAAAAAAAAAAAAAAAAAAAAAAAAAAAAAAAGTTAATTATTACAGTACCATATGGCTCATGTATGCTGGAAAGGAATTTAACTAACTGTCCAGATGGTGTATTGATAAAATACATTAAAAACTAAAACACAATACTTGCAATTTACAACAAATATGCATCTATCACCCCATCTCCCCATACTCGCTCCCAAACCTGTCCTTGAGCTATGCTCGTCTAAGCAGTGGCTGACCCCAATGACTCGCACATTTAACATTTAGTACTGTGTATTCAGTCTGTATTGAGTTTCTCATGTTAACATTATATATTATAATTTAGTGTATAATTTGGCCTAAATTAGGTTAGGTGTTTGGGTTTTGTGAACAGTTACTTATGTTTGTAGTATGTGGGTGAAGCATTGTTCGAGAAATGTTCGAATGTCATTTAACTCCAAGGACCGTGGGGTGAAAATCCACCACTCACTGAAAGTTGCACAACAGGTAGGAACAGCAGTCAGAAGAGCTAACTAAACCCTTGGAATATTCAAGTGTACCTTTGACTTTAAGGAACAGAATATAATTATTAAATTGTATAAATCTCTGGTGCACCCCCATTTGGATAACAGTATCCAAGCATGGAGACCTGATCTTCAGGACATAGCTGCTCTGGAGAAAGTGCAACACCAGGCAACAAAAATAATTCCAAAGCCAAGTCATTTCTCATATCAGGAATGGTTGATAGCCACAGGGCTAAGAACACTGTAAACCAGGCATGACAGGGCAGATCTCAATGAAACTTAAAATTATTTATTAGTCAATGGGTTACACAACTGGATTAACATGCATTTGATCTTGGTTTATAAGGATAAACTATATTTCCTCGTGCCTATACAGGAAAGTTTCAAGGTCACTCATATGTACCAGTACCAAATGAACATTAAATGTGAAACTGACTGACCAACAACCCAGGAAGAGGAAGACCGCTTCTACACCAGGGTGCCACCAAATCTACATTGAAAAATTCAGGTAAGTAGTACTTCAGATAAAAAAAGGACAGACAAATTGGGCTTACATATTTAATGTGGTAATGAAAAAATCCAGTGGGACTACAGGTGGGCGCGAACCTATGACCCCAGGATTGCCAGTCACGTACTCTACCACTGGACCACCGATGACTTGTTAAGGTCATACAATCTGATTCCTACTGAAATCTAGTGGTAGAGTACGCAACTAGCAATGCTGAAGTCGTAGGTTTGCGCCCACTTATAGTCCCAGTGAATTTTCTCGTTGATGTACAGTATATCATGATAATTTGATTTGTGTGTTTTAATGTGGTAATACTACAGAAGTGCAACTGTAGATATTTATTATGTAATGTAATAGAAAAACTTGCCCATACATCCAAAACATAGCACATTTGGCAATTTTGGTGTAGCACCACCCAAACGTACAAGACAAGCAACATGGCAGTAAGCAAACAAACTTGTCAGAAATAATGGGAACCTTTGACAAGCTGCTGGCTTCCTGTGCTCATTAATGCTACTAAAAATGGTAGACCTCAGGTAAAGTAGACACAGGATAGGTTCAAGTTTGAAGGCTTCTGTATGGAATAACTACAATCATTGCTTTCATGTACAATTAGTAGTACTACATTCCTGTCTTGTTAAAATTGATTTTACTGTACTGTATATAGGTCGCAATACTTCCATGTGTGTGGCCTAAACATGTACGGAAAGTTTGCCAAACAATCCATTTTGGTGCATGGCATGAAGATGGTCAATAATAAATATCCAATTCTTCATGTGATCATTTTAATAACAGCATAGTTTCATTTGTAATGCAGCCTGCAAACTCACCCTTGACAGCTTAATTTCAAAGGACCATACATAGTCCTGTAAATGCAAAAAATGGACCCTTTTGAAGGTACCTACAAGGTGGACCTTCAATCAGCCAGCATGTGGCATATTTTATTGCAACTATCTGGTTGAAAATATCAAGAACAAACACATTTTACCTCAATAACAGTGGCATAAAGGAATGGACCAGCAGAGATTACTTGATTCATATCCAGGAAGGTCTGTACTTGTCTATAAATTGCCTCTAGTTGTTGTTTACTGCTCTCTATACCCTTCTCCAGAACCACAAGCTTAGATCTGCAAATAACAACGCAAACATTTAATATTACACATTTTGTTGTTACCAAAACATAATCCCACATATACTAGTAACATAAAAAGGAAAGAAGGGCAAACAAGAACATTAGATGGGGGTAGGGAGAGCATGCATAAGAGATGGGGGTAGGGAAAGGTGGAGAAGGGAGAGCATGAACAAGAGATGGGGGTAAATAGAGGTGGAGGAAGGAGAGTATGAACAAAGAGATCAGGTAAATAGAGGTGGAGGAGGGAGAACAAGTCAGGTAAAGTTAAAAATTCCAGGATGCTGCCAAACTGGATATTTTCCTTATTAAGACTACTCAATAGCTCGATTGATAAGAGCTTTGGCCTCACATGCGTGGTGTCCATTAGGGAGTCAAGGTCAGGATTGAGACTGCTGGGCAAGGATCATCCCTCCTGCTGTGAGACTGATTGTGTACAGATAGCTGGTATTATAATCAAGTACTGCAAGTTGATAACACTTCTCATTGCATTTTTATTTCTTTTTAATAATAATAATAATGTTTATTCAGGTAAAAGTACATACAAAATGAGTTACAAACATAATGTTGAATTTCTAGATAGAGCTAGTATATACAATACCTAAAGCCTCTAATGCACACAGTGTTTGACCAAAGCAGTAAAGACACACGAGATGCTTACATACAGCAGTTCTAAATTTTCCCCAACAAAAAAATTGGCCCTTTTTGTGATACTGAATATTTGAAATATAATACCACAAATGTGAGTCATAAATATTTCATAATACAGTTCTATGAACATACAGTACAGTACTGTATATTGCATTTGTTATTTTATTTGACCATTTATATTAAGTTTGTATTTTAATTAATCAATCTTCCCCATTTTAATCTCATAATTCATATGGCCCCCATTGCAATACAGAAGGAAAACTGTTTAGCTTAAGAAAAAATACTTACATGATAAGGCTATCTGCAACATCCAAAAATGCATCTGTAGCGGTTTTTTCCTTCTCTGCAGTTTCTAAGAGAGCTGATGTGGCATACACATAATCCAGAGCACTGAATTTACTTCTAAAGCCATGAGATAAGGAGAAGGAGGCAAACAGCAGGTTGTTCAGTCCATATTTTTCTGCTTTAGATTCAAGTAGAGACTGAAGCTCATTGCGAAGGGAGACATCCATGCCGCAATACTTCTGCTTGCACTGTGCCAAAGGAAGTCTGTGACAAAAGACAATTACAGTACTTAGGATGTTATGGTTGTACCGATAAAAACTTCAATATTGAAGACTACAGTGCAACCTCACTTACCTGGACCTAATGATACCTCTGGATGTTTAGGTAATTAATTAACAGTACATTAACTTTTCCCACACCCTGGGAAAATTTTAGATAGCAAATTCCTAGTCATATAAAATATCCAATGTAAAAGTGCAATTTGAGTGTACTGCACACACTGCAACAGTTAGTACAGTAATATTAACGAATTTCAGAATTTCTGATATTCTCACCCCATTTCTGCTAACAACTCGTGTAGTTTCTTTTCTCCTTTGAGGGTCCAAAGTCTGAGAGTGGTAGCAGGATAGAGTGAGTGCCGCATACTCTCTACCAAACTCCAATGACGGTATAGTGCAAGCTGCAATCTAATGAAAATTAAGGAAACTTACATCTTCAAATAAACTAAGTAATAATTAAAATTTATTAACTACTATCACTAGCTATTTATACAGTATGATTTAATACATCTAGGAGCAAAAATTCCTGAAAACTTTAAAAGTAAGGCACATCGAGAAGAGAAAATCCACTAGGGCCATGAGGTGGAGCTGAAGCTACGAGTTTGACTTTGCCAAGCTGCATACTCTACCACTAGACCACTGTGACTTGTATTCATATTCATGTCATTCAAGTCATACAACCGGATTTTGACTGAAATCACAGGAAGTCTGGAGGCCCCTACTGAAACCAGTCCAGGTTTTATATATGACCCACAAGCACTCGGTGAAAGGGCAGTCTGTATTTGTAATATCTCCATACCTCAAACAATAATGTATTGGCAAAAAGACCTACAATTAATGTATGATTAACTATAAACACACAGCCATTGAAATGGAACATTCTCTGTAACTAGCTGACATTATAATTATAAAGTGTGAAGGATAATCTCCATTGAGGTGTGATAAAAGACCTTTTGTGCTCTCTGCAATCCTTATTTGCACTACCTCACAGGATGGGTATGGGGTACACAATAAACTAGCCGCTTCCAGTGAGGAAAAATAAAAAATAAAAAGCCTCATTTGTGAGATTCACTGCACAAGGATCTACTGGATAAACTGTAAAACAGTATAGGTCCTGGGCAATGCCATGACATCTATTGAGAACTATCAGAACCATAGTCTTCATTGGTATTCAAATGCCATTAAAATAATAATATATAATAATATAAAATGTCATTATAGTACTATTATTAATGCACTGATGTTAGTCAACACATGATTAAAGTAGCAGAAAAGACTTTTGGAAAAAGGAAAGTAAAAGGACAAACAAAAATAATATGCAGTAAAGGATACTCTTTTTCAAATGTGATTCTGAGGCAATCTAGTGGTTGTTCATCTTGGGCTTTGTGGTTTAGACGAGATACATGATTTTGAAGGGTGGCCGTTACCAGCAAATATTTGTCTTGTTCTGTTCGTTCTGACATTAACAGTTCTGTTTCACCTACAATTGCCCACCTGAAAAGAAGAAGAGATTCAAATATTACTAGAAATATGAGCACAAATTTGACAACTAGGGAAACAGAAACTCGCTCTTTCTCGAAATCTAAATCCAACCCCCTAACGTAGACTGAGACTATGTAACCACATGAAACTCACAAATTGACCATGAAGCTATAGTGAATCAACACCTGAAGAACTGAATACTTGGCCAGAAGACAGATTGACCAAAACCAACCAGTTTTCCAAGTAGGCTAGCATCCAGATGCCATGAAAATGGCAATTACCCAAGCAAAGAATCTGAAACCCAAGTTAATACCAGACACCCTGAATGAGGTAAACTAAAACATCCTACTCTAAACCCCAGCCTATTCAAAGGGCATGGGAATGAGAGGATTACCACACCCCTTTACAGAACCAAACTTACAGAAAGCCAGGCAAAAGATGATGGCATACAAAGATGTCAGAAAAATAGCACAGAAGTGAGAATCAAAATGCCACTTGCTCCTGCACTGAACTGTGTTTTCACACCACCAAAGAATCACACCCCTAACTGACAGGGAGACATACATCTTTGGGTGGATCAAAACATAACAATAAGGAAATAAGCATTGTGCAGATGTAAGGAAATGAGTCAGGACTGGCATGAAGCCACCTGGCAAACCTGGAACATGTTCATACAAAATATTGAACAGGAAATATGGGAAGCGAGCCATAACATATCCGCGGTAAATCATGGATGAGGAAAATGTTTCTTCGGAACCGAGATCAAGAGAGCACCTGAAGGGTGTATGTCATCTCCCTCACACCCTTATTCAAGAAAGTACAAATGCTGAATAATGGAGTAGATAGCCGAGCAGAAATCTGAAACACGCAAGGGAAGACTGACGACCACATGCAATAGAAACCCTGAGAGACCAGACAAAATGCCTAGGCATTCCTTATGCCAAGCAAGCATCAGAGAATCACACCCCAACAAGACCTGGTCACCCCAAGACTATTCCATAGATCAGGAGCCCAAGAATGGATAGACAAGGATTCTATGAGAAAAAGCAGATAAAACTGACTTAATACAGAACACCTGGTAAGGTGGCTGGAAAGATGCACTCACTGTAGTCAAAACCTTCAATATCTCTTCTTCTGAAAAGAGAACATGAACAACTTAGAGAAACAAGAGACAGCAACACCGCACTCATCCCTCCCTCCCGACTCATGGAAATGATCCAGAACAGTTCCCATACAATAATGAAAAATGGAAAAATACATTAAAAACTACCCTTCTAAATGATTCAAGCAGGTTGCTACATAAAAAAAAATTAATTTAATTAGTATTGCAGATAATATAAATAAAATATTTAAAAGATAATGAACCTTACATAAAATTTAAGCTTAAAAGTTATGAACTTACCATAATAATTCATTAGAATCTTTAGAGAGCTTCCATGCCAGGTCAAACATTAGTGTTGCAGTCTGCAAAAATAAGATGCATTTGATATCCTGAAAACACTTTTAAGTATTAATATTAAGTCAAATATTAACAATGCATGTTGTCCTTGGGGTCCACGGTTGGAGACCCATGCAGCCCAGGTGAATGGAATGCATTCTGGTTATTCTATGTATCACAGAACAGAGCTTGAAATTATTTTTAATACCAAAGTTGCAGGGCTTCTGGACAACAAAAATTAGAAAATTAATACAATTTATGAAATGGTTTCTCTTCCCTCTCTACCCTCACCCCAGGGTGTGCTGTTCTGGCAATGGTTCGTCCAGTTTTGGGAGTGGTACTGGGAAGTGTGGTAGTTTGTGATCACTATCTCACTCAATATATTTCAACTGTCTACAACTGTTAACGAAGAGAACTTTTGATCACCACCATAGCACCTTTGCCTTTTCTAAGCTGGAGACTGTGATCCAAAGTTTTAGACGTTGCAGGTTTTGAAAGTTCCTCTCAAACAACTTTGTCGATTCTTGTTACAGTTTTGTTTGTGGCAATCACATCTTTTTTTTCCCCCATTCTACCTACTAGCTTTTTGTACACTTAATGCAGTGGTTCCTCAGTTTTTTTTTTAAGGCATGGACACCTTACAACTGCTGCATACTCTACTTTTAGTCTCATTAATGTTATGTATAATTACCTCAGTACTGTATTTCCCAAGCTGGGTGACAGTTCAGTATCCAGACCCAAACTTAGATCACTCTCTCTCTCTCTCTCTCTCCCTCCCTCTCACACACACACACACACACACACACACACACACACACACACACACACACACACACACACACACACACTCACACTCACACTCCCTCTCTCTCTCTCACACTCACTCAGAGTCCTATAATATCTTTTCACATAACTATATTAGGTTGTTTGTGACCTGTTCCCACTATTCCACACCTCCTTACATGGTATTTGTCCACGTGTCAATTATTCATTTTGTTGATATCATTTTGAAGAGAATGGCAGTCGTATAAGTCTTTTACTCTCTCTAGTAACTTAGCATCTGATACATTACAACCCAGTCTGATACATTGCCTCTGATTATTGCTCTAATTTATCTGTAATTTTTTTTTATCCAAGCCAGAAGCCTGCCTGTCACCCCACCATTGTGTTCTAGCTTCCAAATCAGCCTAGTGTGTGTTCACAAATATGTGTCAAAACTGCTACAAGTATAGATATGTCTTACAGAGCTTCCATAATAGGAAAATTGCGTGTAGTCAAAAATAATTTTATGCCGCTGCTGCTCCCAGTGTCGCCTAGCTCTGCGTTTTTCCAAGGCCTCCTCATCAAACCGTCCTCTCTTCTCCCCTTCCTCATCACTTTCATCATCATCACTCTGTAAGGAGCCAAGTTCATATTAAACAACAACTACCAATTTCCAACTTTCAAGGCATGAGAAGACACTACCTTAGATAAGTAGTAGATACTACTTAGTATACTTAGAAGTAGATACTTAGAAGTAGATACTACTACTAGAAGATACTAGGCAAGCAATACAGTATAAGAAGAGGGTAAAGATGCTCAGACACCAAACCAATTGCCTTTTTTGTTCACACAAACATTATAACATAGAACCTATTGCTAACAAAATTATCCAAAGCAGCACCCATCCATATGACCAGGCATGCAGTGCTGCTTGTGCATAATAAAATATTAAAGCTTTAACAAGCCGATTCCAACTAACCATATCCTCCACCACTTCTCAAATGATGTTCACACTCAGTCCCTGCTTCTTCACTCCCCATGTGTGCATATTTTACTTGCCACCCCATTATTCCTGCAATCTAACTTCACCACTTTCATTCACCAGCAAATGTTTATAATTTTTTGTATGTGTACACATATGCTGCATGCATATGCCGCATGTGTGTGTACACACACAGCATGCATATGCGTGTGTACACACACTTTTCCCTCTCATTCCTTATTACCACATGCCAGAAAACAATTATTTCCACAGTTATAATAGATCTTTTATCAAATTTATTAGTTTCCAATATAAACAAATGCTAGCAGCTTTTTCAATGGATACGTAACATTTAAGGACTTGAGATACACTTACTTCATCCTCACGAAATACATCAGCAAAAGCAGGGACTTCCTCATCACCAAGTTTGGTCAGGATTCGAATCTGTATTAATAAAATTCTTGGTTAAAAAAGTATACACATTAAAAAAAAATAGCAGAAGAGACTCCTGTCACCATAATTATCATATTACCAGCACTCTCGAAATGGTGTTAAATGCAGCGTCCAAGTTTAATTATATATCCTTCATTGAAATTTGGCAACTTGTAGGTAAAAGAGCTAATTAGCTTTTATTTGCAAGGTGTAATCTGTTTTGCTAATTACTTTACTAGTTCCACTACGCATTCAGATTTAAATAAAATGAACCCTCAGTTTATACAGGGTTTTCACACAATTTGCATTATGTAATAATATGCTGTTAATAATCAAAATACTGCAATGCAAGTCAAGGCAAAGGTCATAAGTCGAGTAAAATTTTCCAATGAATTTGAATTTGGGGGTCGTAACTTGAAAAATCCTCAAGTACTGTAGGGGCATTCATAAGTCGAGGTTCCACTGTACTTGAAAAGTAAAAGCTGTTTTAGACCATTGTTTCTACAAAAAAAAAATTGTCCAAATAAGAAATTGAAAGTGTTAACAAAATCCTGTACAGTGTATTCTGTAATAAACACATCCAATCAGCATAATTGTCAAATATTTTAAATTTTGGAATGGTCTTCCATTTTTTACTTGGTAAAAGGTCACCTTCACATATGGCATACCATGAAAAAGTATTAAAATTACATTACAAAATAGTAAACCACGTCATAAGGATCTTGAATGATTGAGAACGCCTTGTGCAAGAATGGATGTGGACCGAGATGTTGACAAGTTATTACATGCAGATGCAGTAAAAAATATTGATTATGTTATGTATATAAATAATAGGATATATTGAGGACATTTTTTTAGCAAATATTCTGTGTAAATGTTAGGTGAGGTTGGCTTGAACAAGTCTTGTTGCTCTGATAACAGTAGCTCCACCAATTTCTCTAGAGGTAACATACAGGAAGGAGGCTGAGAACAGCAACTCTGAGGACTGCTATGCTCACCTTTAAAGGTTCTTCCAGTGTATCAAGGTAGGAGGCCTCCTTGCCCACAACATGAATTTGGAAAGTAGGTGAAATAGGCATAAACTGGGACCTTCACTTCACAGTAACCCAACTTACCAGAGCCCAACAACAAGAATAGAATCCAAGTCGAACTAGATCATTGCTTGCTAGCCAGCCAATTTATTCTGTTGTGCATTACTGCCCCTACCCTATTTTTAAAGGATGTCATACATCGCACATTCTATCAACATCAGAGGCCCGAGACTGTTCAACATAATTCCACTACACATAAGGGGCATAACTGGCTGACCCCTCAGTGTTCAAGAGAGAACTGGATAAGCACCTCCAAAGGATACCTGATCATCCAGGCTGTGATTCATATGTCAGGCTGCGAGCAGCTGCATCAAACAGCCTGGTTGACCAGTCCAGCAACGAGGAGGTCTGTTCGACGACCGGGTTGTGGGGATGCTAAGCCCCGGAAACACTTCAAGGTAACTTCAAGGTATCCCTCCGCCCCCCCCCATCCCTTCTCCAGGCGCCATAGTCGCTGTGTAGAGTTCTCTCATGTGAAGGCAATCTGAGAATATTATGACAATCGCCTGTTTTAACCCCAACCATCAGTTTGGCAGGGAAGACTTTAGCAGAACTTTCTTTAAGAACTCTAGCTCCACTACTGCATCAAGGTAGCTGTTATGGGGGATAATTGTAAGAAAGGTTGTAATCTAGCATGAATCCACTACCTGCAGTTTAATTTAAAAAATGTGGTCCACTCATGATATTTCAAGACTTGTCTTACATTCACTTTTATAAGAAGGCTAGAGAATATCTAAGAAATATGGGGCAAAGGCTGACAAAGCCCATGACCCCACCATTGGCAGCACAAGTTCATTTGAAGTGATTCATCTTTGCTGCTGAAATTAATGGTTTGGCAAACACCACTTAACAGCATTCAAGCCATGTTTCCATCCCAAGACCAGAGGAAAACTTCCTTTCTTATACTGTATTCAAATTTAATAAAAAGGCAGCAAAAATAAAATCTATTTTTAGGTGAAAAAGCTGTCGCACATGAATCATGCAGCAAACAAAAAATAGCTAAAGGATTAAACACTAAGAGATTCACGGAAATATTTTACTATCTTTACCTGTTCTGCATTATAAATATTGCAAATATCAAGAGGCCTGTGGTTATCAGCAACAAAGAAAATTAGGTCTTCAGGAGGATGCAGAAGGTCAACAAGATCAACACAACCTCCACAGTTTATTAGCACTATGTGTTTCACCTGAAAAGAAACAACATTAAATATGCAAAGTGCTTTACAAATACAAATACTGTACTGTATTCTTTATTTATTTGTATACAAGGTATATTGGGTTGTGAGAGTACATAATATCAGTGTTCTTACATTTTTGCAAAGCCACTAAAATTCATAGAATTTCAGGCAGTAATTAAACTGACTTTCCCAGCAGCAGTTAAAGGTACACTTCTTTCAATTCATGAAGAATAAAACTGTGTTCAAAATTTGGTTATCCTGGACACAACCAACTGTTCCTTCATCCACGCATCAAAAGTAGGTCATAAGTTAAAGCAAACAGGTCAGTATCAGTATATTATTTAAATTATGGCAACATTAAAATATTCTGGTCTTAAATTATTACTGCCTGTATATCCTTTTGCTAAAGAGGATGTACTGAATTTCCTAATTAAAGTTAATAGTACTGTAATGCTGCAAAGTATTTAGATCATGCATTTGTGTACAAAATCCAAAATGGGTTGCACTGTGAAATAAAATCGGAGCATACAACATTACACATACCTGTTCTGAATGTTGCTGAACGGCATTAATGAGATCAGTTCGAGTTTGCACAGGAACAACTGTGTACAATATGAGATCAGAGCGAAACAGCGACTGAAGAATTTTACTAGCACAAATGCCGTCAATGTCGAAGTGTACCAGCAGCAAGATACGCTGAAGAAAGAATTTCATTAAGCAAGTTTAAATGATAAATAAAATTTTCTAGCCAGCCTCCTCTCTCCCAACAGAGAAAGAGAAAAAATTTGCATATACACCACAATGACATGTCAATATACCAAATACAGTATTCTCAAATGAAAATCTGGGGAAAATATTTGTTAAATATTTGATATCAAAGTTCATGCATCTAATGAGGATCAAACAAAATAATCAAAATATACATGATTAGAATTAATTTATTTTTAATTTATTCCTTTTGAGCAAATATAGGATCCTCGAAGTTTAGGGTGACAGACCGGTAGACCTCGGTGGGGTATAGTAACAAGACTTCCGCAAGAACCAATGCAGTCCCACGATATAAGGCACAGAACAAGTGCCATATCTCACCTATGGTATCTATGCATGGGGGGGGGGGGGATCTACCACCCTTAATTATCTCCGACCCCTAATTACTCAACAAAAATCAACAATTAGGACAAAAACAAATTCCAGTTCCAGGCACCATTTTGCTCCCTTACTGAAATCTTTGAACACGTTAAATATCAAGTCTCTGCACATTCTTTCAAGCGTTGTCTATATCTATGGAGCTCTGAACCATTTTTTTTCAATTCAATGTTGGATTTATAGATAGAGCTAGTACATACAATACCTAAAGCCACTAATATGCACAGCATTTCGGGTAAGGTGTGGGAGAAAAAACACTTAGATTAAAACTTAATACTAATTGAGATTAAAGTATAAATAATGTTGAAAGGTACATGGCAGAAATCAGCAATTATACAAGTTGGTCAACAAACAGTATTGTTTGAAAATAGCAAAACATGGGTTGACATTTAGGGGGTAAGGTAAGGTACAAAGAAGTTTATTAGGTAGTATTTAGTTTTTCTCTTAAACTGGTTGAGAGGGGTACAGCCTTTGACATGATTGGGAAGGTCATTCCACATTCTTAGTCCCTTGATTTGTAGAGCATTTCTAGTTTGGTTAAGTCATACTCTCGGAATTTGTTTCTGGTGTGGTGTCCATGGGTCTGTTACAACCTTCTAGGAACCGTTTAAGGTCAGGATTGACATTACAGTTCGGAGTCTTAAATATATAGAGTACACATGAGAGAATGTGCCAGTGACTTACTATCTAACATCTTCAAAGAGTGCTGTCTGGGGGCCAGAGTTAGATATTGTTCTAATAGCAGCTTTGTGTTGAGTAATTAGAGGACGAAGATGATTTTGGGTCGTGAACCCCAAGCACAAATACCATAATTGAGATAAGGATAGATGAGAGAGTAATAGAGCGTCACCAGGGTAGGACGAGGTACATAATATCTGATCTTAAGAAAGAAGAGTCCTTGTCTAAGTACAAGGTAAGGAACTTTACATAATTTTTATTGCTATGTTAACATTGTCTATCTGAAGTTGAATTTCAACATTGTGTATGTACGAAAGGTACAAATAATTTCAAATATAATAACATGATAATGACATCAACTGCTGAGAAATGTATAAAACTAAACATTGAAACACTGCACCATCGAACCTGTTAAATCCCCATCACACAAAAGCCTTTTACAAGAACAACCTAAATGGCCAGCACAAGACGGGAAGCTACTTAATTTGGTGGAGGGGTTTACCTTGCCTTTGATAAGGTCGTAGAATTGTGTGCGGGCGTCAGAGAGGAACATAACTGCTGGCGGCCTCGGCGCCACCCTCCTCACACTCAACCTTTTGGCGCCAACCTCCCGCTGACGGCCACTACACTCTCCCTACACTTATATACTTTACACCATTTCCCACACAAAATTTGTACCTTTCGTATATATATAAATAATTGCTCAATATTAAAATCATAATATAATGCTATTAAGACTTAAAATCTTCTACTTAACAGGCATATAGTTATTAAATGAAGTTTAGTGATGTGATGAACATAATCCGGATTTGGTAAGAACGTCGCCCGCCAGCGTAAATACTACATATCCGAATGCCCACAAACATGATCGAACGCATAAAACACAAGGCAATGGTCAGTTTTTGTGTAAACTTCTATTACATTTAATATGTGATAGTTATACTTGTATATAATAATAGGTATTAAAGATAGGCGCTTATCATGCAATATTAATAAAAAACGAGGTCAAAAGCCACACGTCTGTCTGTATATGTCTTTTAGATGCTCTTGTACTTGTGCGCTAGCTAGTGTTCACAAATGTTCGCGCCTACAAGAATTAGAATTAATCAAACAAAATGTTATTTATTTATTTATTTATTCATTTATATACAAGAAGATACACTGGGCTGAGAGAGTACATAGCACTGGTGTTCTTGCATTCTTGTAAAGCCACCAAGTTCAAGTTCAAGTATGTGTATTGAGATAAGAAAGAAATATATCTCAAAAGGATAGAGTAGCTTAGGCTATTTCTACCCCCCTCTACTTCAAGATCCTCAAGGGGCGCACAAATTCAGTGAGTACAAATAGACAAATAACATTACAAGAATCCCATTTAACATTGCAGGTTAACATAGTAAGCACAGCATATAATTGTTACTCTCGTGGGACCAAATTCTTGTAGCTCCTAAGTATTATGTCTATCATAACATTATCACACATCCAAACAATTTGATGTGGTACACTACTTATTTCTTTATTTCTATAGTTATCAATAAGTTGACACTCTAATACATAATGTTCTAAGGTGTGGGCGTGCGGCATACTACATAATTTACACTCCTTACTGACAACACCGTATTGCCAGATATATTTGTATCCTAATCTTAATCTGATGTAAATTGGCTATATCTGGCTATGTGTGTTGGTGGCTATCCTTAATAAGAACATAAGAATAAAGACAAGTGCAGAAGGCCTATTGGCCCATACGATGCAGCTCCTATTTATAACTATTTATAATCCAATAAAAGTGAAAGTATTAATAAGTAAATTGTAGTAGAATTTGAGTTTAACATAATATTGTAAAAAAAGAAATTGAGTTCACCATAATAACTACAACATAAATTGATGAGAGTGATTACACTGGTGAAGTTGCATATCTTAAACTCTAAAATTAGGGAAGTTATAATAATTCATTATTTATATTGTGATGCAAATAACAAATACGCATACACTATTTCACTCGGAGATACTTACATATTAACGATTATAATCTGAAAATGTATACATATAACAATGTATAAACACGAAGGAAAAATCAAACATGAAATTACTTAGGCACTTTCGTAATAATTAACACATCATAATATACTTCTGTTGATGTGATGCTTAACACGAAAGTATTTTTAAGTAATTTCCTGTTTAATTTTTCCCTCGTGGTTATACATTGTCTACAATGTCATATAACTATATGTAATACATTATATGTCTATAATGTCATACAATTCATATTCATCACGTGTTAATTTCTCCGTGAAGCCTGTGAGACGCGGATATTAAATGAACTTACAGCCAATTTTTTATTTACACGTTATAATTCTTCATATAGATATAAGGTAGCAGCACATTGCTGTGTATACCTAAGCTTGTTAATATCTTATAAAATCTGTCAGTTCATTGCAGTTTTGTTGAAAAATAGATTAATAAACAATGCGACTGGATTATCAAGCTTGCTTAGCAAAACGAACTTGATTAAATATTATCTGAAGACATGCGCTAATTATATAATCAAGTGCCATGAATATATTCCTATTCTTAAGTTGTTATCAATTTCTATTTCCTCGGTTTTGGTGATAATAGTGTCTTGGAAGACGAGAACAGCAGCGAACATAAGCCAGCGCATATGTATATAAACATACGAAAGGGTTCGTGTAAATCCGGCCCTCGGGCAGACATGACAGAGGCAGCCACCAACAGGGAGTCCCCCTTTCATCCCCCTCCCGTCTACCCCTCCCCATCCATCCCCCTTCCCCCCTCTTCCATGGAGTGTGGGAACCCCACCAGAAAACGGGAAGTTCAAAACAGCTGATGGCGGGTCAAAAATCAATGCAGGAGGCAGCAGCGGTTATTGTGGAGGTGTTTAATAAGGTGGTCGACGCTTGTGGTGGGTGAGTGGGTTCTGCTGACGAGGGTGAGTGTTGTGGTGGCCCCGTGGGCGGCAGAGGTCATGTCCTGGGCCCTGGTGGCCCTGCTGGCCTGGAGTGGTGGGGGTGGAGGGGTGCCTGGCACTCCTGCCCGCCTCACATGCAGACTTGTACAGTGCCAACCCTGGTCAAGCGCCGGCACCAGACACATGTTGCCCGAGCCTTAACCTGCACCCTGCTGGTCCTGGCACCACTTGCTGCCTGTCTCATGTTCACGCTATATAGTCACGCTTGAGATAACTCCACATTTGTTTACTGCTCCACGATTCTTCACATTAAACACCTAATAATATTGCTGTCATTCGTAGATAACTAGCCCACAAAATTAAGGAAATTTGTTTAATAACTTAATAAATATGGTTCAGTGAAGCAGGTCACAATACTGAGAAAGGCAACTGTAAACCTCCATTATAATGGAATCTGCTTCACTATTTTTTAGTGTCAAATTATACAGTTTTTTCACCTCAAGAATATTTGTGTATTTTGTAAAGAGTCTTGAAGTGTCAACAAATAATGTTGTGTACAAAGTGGCAGTTTGTTTCTTTGGATACACTAATATGCTAAGCTGATTAGATTAGGAGCCAATTGGAAATGGGATAACTTATGAAATCACACATATTAAAGAAAATTATCATGGATTAAAATTCGCCAAACACTTGATCACAATGACTATGTAATCATGGCCAGAATGGGCTTACAGTAGAACACTGGCCTCTCACAATTCTTGCTATGATATAGTTGTTTATGCCATGGAAAATGAGCAAAATGTCAATGCACTGGATTTATGAATGCTTTTAGAAAATGTGACGATGTTGGGGGATGAGATATCCTTATTCGTATGAGTACTTGCCATTATCATCAGTTTTACACTGAATTACTTTCTTACATTATGACACCTCCGAAGTACTGTATTCTGCATTTCATTGTGTACTGGTATTTATTATTCGAAAATGGGATTATTTACTAATACAGTATTTAGATTCATATTTTAATAAGATAGGAGAAACTTGTGAATGTCAGTGGATTATTGGCCTAACCCAGTTTTTTCCCATATATGATTGATTTTATTCTGCACAAGGTTTCCCTGAAAAGCTAGCCTCATTCTGAGTGAGGGTTGGCTGTTGTTGTGATAACAACAATGTAATGTGAATTATGTGACTAAAACATTTGTAAAGACAGATTACTGTAATGGAACATTGTTTTTTTATGAATAGTACTGTACAGGTATATCAAATAATAATTTGTGCATCTTCATTTTCATAATGAATATACAGTTCAGTACCCAAAAATTACTGATCAACCAATATATATATGTCCACTATACATTATATTATCATTATTACTCCATTTTCCACTTCCTTATGGTGGGAAGGCATTTTCTAATAGTGTATAAGTAGTGTAATATGGCATTGGAAAAGGTTTTTCATGCTCAGGAGATTTATTTATTTACCAAAACTTTCACTTGACTTTCAAATAAATATAGATAGTGAAACCATTATATTCCAGGAAATCATACACAGCCGTATATTTACATATTACCTTGGCCAGTGGAAAATGTCTTGGTATGTAATGCTGAATGAGGATGAAGCATATAGTGAACCCTGGAAAGAGCACACTGCCTGCAGCATATAACAGAGTAACATTCTGTCCCAATAGAATTTTGTGCAATACTGTAAGTGCAAGTGAGATACATAGAATATGTACATGTTTGTTATTTTCAGTTAATAGTTTGTTTGACTTATTTCAGAAGTGTGAGCACAGAAAGAGGATTCTCATCATGGCTGCCAAGATGCCAGAAGCACTTTATTCATGCGAAGTGTGTGGTTTGGACGGACTTTCGGATGAGGACTTGCGGTCCCACATGTTGTTTGCTCATATAGAAGGAACATCATCGTGCCCTTTCTGTGATTTAGGAGATATAAGCCCAGATGAAATGATTCATCATGTTAATTCTGCCCATTTGGACTATTTAAGTCCACAAGATGAATGTTTAGATGATACTTTAATGGTAACAAATGGTTTTGGTGACCATATTATTATCACTAGCCCTTTAAGAGAAGATAGATTGAATAATAAACCATTGGACAATCATGTGCCTGTGATTACAGTAGAAGAAAATGATAATGACAATTATAATGCTAACCTAAGCCCTTCTCATAGCAAGGGGGGAAATTCCAGCAATCAGGGATCACCAGATCGTGCCCAATTATCACTTAATCTTAATCAACTGGAGAGACGAAACAGATTAGCAAGTCCGGGTGTGCGCAGCCCCTTGTTAGATGCCAGGGTGACAACGTGTCCAATATGTGGAATGAAAGAGCATTCACCAGTTAAGCTTGAAGAGCATGTCAATAGAGCCCATTTTGACCTGATGTCTCCCTCATTCCCAGCTGTTACCCCTCAGGAAGAAGTCATCTTTACTTGTCCTGTATGCATGAAGCAATTTGAATGTAGCCCAGATCTTGAGCTTCACGTCAACATTGAGCACAAGGACATCCTGAGTCCTTCAAAGGTAAAAAAAAAATATATAAATTTTATATATATATAATATATATATATATATATATATATATATATATATATATATATATATATATATATATATATATATATATATATATATATATATATATATATATATAATAATTATAATAATAATAATAATAATAATAATATTATGTTGTTGAATATGACCGAAAAGGTAAGATTAATAATTCTAACATTTTCTCAATATTTCTTATCTTTTTCTTCACTGTCGGTGGTAATAAAAATATCAATTCTCCAAAATTCATTTTTTTATTGTCTGACGCCTGAGCACGTTTCGTAATGCTTATTACATTTTCAAAGACTTAATTTATACACAGATTCATCGAACATATACTCATTTTGGGTGAGGTGATATGGTACAAAGTTTTGGGTAAGGTGAACAGACTTATGACAAACATAAGACAGAACACGGAACAATGAATATAAATTGGATACGAGAACTGCAGAAGGCCTATTGGCCCATACTTCCTCTTGTTGCTTCCATATTGGTTTGGGGTCTTGAAGTGGGTAGAATATAGTTGTGCATTAATTGGCTGTTGATTGCTGGTGTTGACTTTTTGATGTGTAGTGCCTCACTGATGTCGAGCCGCCTGCTATCACTGTACCTATCGATGATATCTGTGTTGTTTAAGATTTCTCTGGTGATGGAGAAGAGATTTTATGTTCCTTGATGTAGCCCTGTTGCTTATGCATTGTTAATCGCCTGGTTGATACCTGGTTGATATCAAGCTTAACCCCTGCACTGCTCACCCATTTTCGGCAAAAATGTCTTGGTGCAATTCTCAAGGATATATTTTTGTTATTTTTATAATTGTTCAGGTAAAGTTAATGTCAAAATGTTTCCAAAGTCAACTATTTCCATTTCAAAACACAAAGAGTAATGAAAACATTTAAAAGTATTAAAATATAGCCTAATTAAAAAACAAAAAGCACAAATCTCAGAGCGCCTAAAGGCGCTTTGCGCAGTGCAGTGGTTAAGAAAGAGAAAGCGCCTGGAAAGAGACGTTGTTGTCTTGCCTATATACCGAGTTCTTTGGAGCTTACAGTCCCCAAGTGGGCATTTAAAGGCATAGACGACGTTGGTCTCCTTTAAGGTGTTCTGCTTGGTATCTGGAAAGTTTTTTATGAGTAGATTGGCCATTTTTTTTTTGATGGTTGACAATATATCATAAAACCAAAAAAACGGCCAATCTACTCGTGAAAAACTCTCCAGATACCAAGCAGAACGCCCTAAAGGAGACCAACGTCGTCTATGCCTTTAAATGCCCACTTGGGGACTGTAAGCCCCAAAGAACTCAGTATATAGGCAAGACAACAACGTTTCTTTCCAGGCATTTGTACATAAAATATGAAGTTCTTCATTGGTAAATACCGATTTAATACTCGGTGTATTTGGAGTAATCCTTGTTTTTATTGTCGCTAACATTTAATATTCTGGGCTATTTAGTTACTAATGATGGCAACCACTGCTTTTTATCGTCATTATGAATGTGCTTCTTAACAACTCTGCTGTGATAGATAAAGTTGATAATAGCTCTGGTAATAAAATCATTATTAAATCGATAATAATGCCTTGGGAGTAAAGTAAACTGATGTAATATGAGACAAAGTTATATCTAAAATAAATTTCAAATGCATTTCTTAAATTATAATTGAAATTCTGATTGTGCACTTGTGCATTCCTATGGAGGAAGTGATTATGCAAGTACCAGTAGCTACAATATGTACATTTGAGAAGTGAGGTCTTGTGTGCACATGTTGAATGGATGGGGTTATTTGTAAACTAAAAATGTCTACTGTACATATAAAAGTACAGTACTGTACTGTTCTGTTCTGTTCTGTATTTTGTTCTGTTTTTATCCTTATGTTACTTTTGCTTACTCATGATTGTCTTAACAGTCCGATGTTGAAACGCCTGTGGAAAGTGAAGATAGTGATATTGGTGTTTGTCCAGTGTGTAGTCGAGCGGGGTTTGGTTCTCATAACGACCTTGCTGCTCATATTGATACCCACTTCTCACGTAAATCATCCATTGGTAGGTATTATTAGATTTCTGTCTATTTTTTTTAGCTTTCATAACATTATGGATAAATGAAAAGGAAGCCCAGAACATAGATTCAAGAATCTATTTTCTTAAACATTGCACATTTAGAATGATGGGTAGTTTAAAGTGTGTTTATCCTTTCTCTAACATATATTTCTTTGATGGGATTGAACATTTTAACGTTTAATGTGATTCACATTAATTTATGCATTAGTTTGGTGTTAAAAAGTATAATTTTAACTTGTTAGGTGTCAGAATATTTTAATTTAATATTTAAAAACAATTACATTTAAAAATAAATGACAATCTGTTGTCTAGTTACTCCAGATGAGGGAGGATGGGAAAGACGCCTTGTTACAGACTTGGAGAAACAAGAGAAAGAAGTTCAGCGCATGAGGGAACAGCAAGAGTTTTCTCTATTAAGGGTATGTCACCGTAAATATCAAACACTAAATGTAAGAGAAGGTACAAGGTTTATGTAATGTATATGACTTCAAGGTAATTAGTTTACCAAAGAACATAAGGTTGTTCTATTGTAATCTAAATGACCCCATAAGGTCAGAGTGTATTGGTGCTAGGGAGCACATGAGGAAATCATCTAACTAAAATCTAACTAAATAGTACAAAAAACAATGTGGCAGAGGTTTTGCAGGGTAGATGCCAGAAGTTGTTAGTTTATCCTATACACTAAATGTGAGGCATGGACAGCATATTGCTTTTCTTTCTGCCTTAACACCACCTTGGGTGCCTAGACCTTTTTGTACAAGATGGCAGAACACATTGTAACTTTCTCTCCCACTATGGAATGCCAATTTTAGTATGATACTGGGAGTAGAAGAAACATCTGGAAAAATTGGCTAACAATTTCAAGGAGATTTTCATCTCCCCCTAGATCCTTCCACCCCAGAATGCTGGGATTGCCACTAGAGCAAGAGCATAGCTCTGAATATTGATAATACATTTACAACCAGGGGAACTGGAGTAGGCCATGATGCTTACAAATTTTCTAACAGATGCACAGCATGGCTTCTGAGAGTGAAGATCTTGCTTAACAAACTGTAATGAATTCTGTGACAGGATCTTCAAAATAAGACAAGACAAAAGAAGGAAGTATGGGTAGACTGCATCTTCCTGGATTGCTAAAAAGTTTATGATATACCTCCTTACAAAAGATTAATAGACAAGATAGAAACGATAGAAACGCACTTCATGAATGATTGGAGATGAAAATACACTCCATAAGATAGCTATAGAATTTCTGAAAGAGAGACAGAACAGTATTCAATTTCTGGATTGGTTTTAGCCAAACAGTAACTTGAGAAGCTGCTGCAGTGCAAGTAATAAGAAATCATATTTGAAGAGTGGGTACACAGTTTGCCACAGCAGGAGCCATGGAAGTAGCAACAAAAGTGAAGTAACTTGCAGCTGGAGGCCAATGACTTGAGTCAAGAAGCAAGATCAGATGGACTGATCAAACCTCCACTAAAAATTTTGTAAAACCAGTTATCATTTCACCAATATTTCACAGCACTGTACACACTGTACTTTGTAGGGCTCCTATGGACTAGTTTGCTTGCTGAAAATGAGCTACATCTTAATGTGTGCATATATTAACACTTTCTGCTGATGAGGACTCCGCCCTGAGTCCTGTTTCACCTCACCGCTTCCGCATGGTGGACATAAATTTATGTCCTCTTAAAATATTTGTATAAAATTAAATTTTAATCCGATTTACTTTGGGTTTGTTTCAAACTGCGCGCCATGAGGCTCTCTTTCTCACCACTAGGCTGCATGGTACAATAAGTTCATGAAAGGTGTGGACCACTTCGATCAAATGGTATTACCATTTTACCCGGAAAACTCACAAGTGGACCTAAAAGATAACGTTTTATTTCCTGCAAATGGCTTTGCATAATGCCTTTGTTTTGTACAAATACAACACAACTGATCAAAAAAAGCTAACATTGCTACAGTTCCACGAGGTGGCAAATTGGACCCTATTGTGCTGAGACCCGGAAGATTTGCCTCAAACAGCAACAGTATCTCAACACTTGTGGCACGCTCCAGACATAAATGATGACACAGGTCCTGCCTATGCTGACGCCATGCAAACTCCTGGACCATCTGGTGTGAGGCGGCCCTTGTTCACTTCAACACCTCAAGCTGAAGCAGCAACCGAATCAGAACCCGAGATGTCTGGCACACTGCCATTTGACGAGACGGTTTTGTCAGATGACTCTGACTCAAATGTTGAACCTCCAGCGATTCAGTTGATTCTGAAAATCGCATGAACTACAAACTGAAACAAGTATTTTGATACCAGAATGAACACTGTATCACATAAACTGCCATAAATAGACTCGAACTTTCATAGATTTTTTTTGAGTGTAGCGTGTGTCTGCATGAGTGTCCCAAGCGGGTTGCAGATGGGTGACTTTAGCCGTTTATACAGGTAATGTATTTTGTATTTTGATACCAGAATGAACACTGTATCACATAAACTGCCATAAGTAGACTCGAACCTTCATAGATTTTTTTTGGGTGTAGCGTGTGTCTACATGAGTGTCCCAAACGGGTTGCAGGTGGGTGACTTTAGCCATTTATACTGGTAATGCTTCCCCCATATCATGTATTATATGCATATGTCTGTTTAGGGAATTTTATTCCGATCAATGTACAACCAAAAATAACTGTGTGCAACAAGTATAAACTTGACAAACATAACAAAAGTAAAAACATTTCGTGTGTGTTTGACGCTCACTGATATGTTCCAGCGTTGTTTTATATTTGGCGCTATTCTATCTTACGCTTTGTTGATCTTTTTTACCTACGGGCTCATAGAACATTCTATTGCGAACACATTGACATAAAAATGAATGACGTACATAGAATAATAATGTCAGGAGAGTGAAATAAGTATAAACTTTCAAAGCGCCGTATCGCACATGTCGTCCCGTCACCGATACCGGGTAATAATTTCACCACTTCCCACACACTTGCGGGTGGGCCGCAATCATTATTCTACGTTTATATTCATATCACCATGTTGGGAATTTCATTGCGAGTCCATTGATACCAAAATTAACGCTGTAGGACAAGTGTGGAGGTGATAACGATCTCAAGAGTAAAAACATTTTGTTGCTGTTGGGCGCTCACGGCGAGTCATCTTCGTAGTTATTTATTTGGTGCTGATATCCCTATACGTTTCGTGACTCTTTTTATTGACGTTCTTCTAGAGAATTTTATTGCGAACACGTTGGTACCAAAATGAAATACGTAGCTCGAGAACTAAGGTCAGGAAAGTAAAAAGAGTATACACATTTTTGTTTTTACGCTTACGCGGGCAAAAACGCCGCGCGCACATACCGTTTTTTTTTTTTTACCATCCCAGGGCGCGCGAAAGTGTTAAATACTGTACTGTATTGAGATAGTCTAGAAGGCCATTTCTATTTTTTGGATTTATTATTGGCTGTACTATTTCTGTAATTGCAATATAATCACCTTATTGCTCTTGTTTTAAAATATACTGCAGGCTATAAGTATGTACTCTATATAGATGTTCTGTATGACATGTTCAAATCCAATTCTAGCATATTGGACTTCAATTTTGCCAATGAAAAGTGTGTTGCCTTGACAGTTGTAGGTAGAATAACAACATATTGCTCTTAACTTATTTTTTTATTCTTTGTGGTTATCTGTAGGCTCAGTATGGCATGGATAATGAAGGAAACTTCTCACAGCAGTCTCTAAGCAACATGCAGAGAGCAGTTTATGCGGGGGAAATGACAGTTGCAGATTATTATGAGAGACAAATTGAATTAAAAGTTGCTGAAAAGAACGGTGTTGATGATGGACACTCGTGTACAAAAGGTAAGTGGCGGCTTTGCATTTAAAAAAAAATTCTTGATACTACTGTGTAGATGTTTACAAACAAGACATTCTCTGTCCACATTAAGCCGAGGTTTTCACTTGGACTTAAAAATCCCTAGTTTCCATATTTCTTTTGAATGTCATTTTGATGCACTTTGTTCTTTTCTCCACTAGACAAGGCTATGTAGTCTCTCCTCCAATTTTCTTGGTCACAAACATCTGTCTTGTGTAGTTGCTAGAGTTCGTTGCTTTATTCCTAAAGGAAAAATATTCATTGGGTTTTAAACTTTTTCATACTAGGTTATATCTAGTTATTTTGCCAATTGCTCAAGAATTCCTTTGACTTCTCTCCCTGTATTATTATTGTGAGTGCCAATTGTCTTTGGAGCGGTTATGTTCTCAAATATATTTGATATAGTTGATGTGGGAATTAGATTTTTTCTTTATTTGTTTTTTCCAAAATATATAGTAGTTGTAGATAATGGAAGGAATGTGTGTTGGACACCCAAGTAAGTGGTGTGTGGTTACCTTGTCTCAGGTCTCCTGGGGCCTATTAAGGCAGTCAGCGAAGGTGGCAACAACGTGAAAGGAACGTATCTTTGTACCACCGTTGATCATTATGGCTCCACCTACGGTGACCGTGGTTGGGGCTGTGGTTATAGGTGAGCATATAATCTATTTTATATAAGTAACGTGTGCATCATATTTTCTACATTCCAGATTCATATGCTAGACTCGTAGCTATACTGTATTCATAAATATCTTGACCAGTCTGGTTTTCAAACATAAAAGTTATACCAATTGTTATGAGATCTTTAATTTTACTTGTGGATATTGAACTTGAAAGTAAATAAATAATTAAATTTGCTTTGTCAAGAATGTGCATTTTTTATGATGCATCAAGGATAGCTGCTGTGGATGAAAGGAAAAAGACCTCTGGTGTGAAATGGGCTTGTTACTCTTGTCATGCACAGACTTACTTAATCCTCCTGGGAATGGGTTCCTTTTCCTTTTGAGGTTGTTCTTGTTCCTTAGACCAGTGATCTTAAGTGATAGTGATGTTTGATATCAGTTTGTATTGCAAGACAGGTGTATCAAACTTGATATTCATTAAAAATATATAGTATGGGAAAACATATATGTATTGATGAGGTGTATTATCTGATGAAGCATGTAAGAACAAGGGTACCATTGACTTGTGACTTGGAGGAACTGATAGGCCTGGGACTCTAAGTTTCTGGTATCATGGTGTGAAGGTGGCCTCCCACCCAAACGTAACAACATTGACCCTTAAGCTGTGGCCCTTGCTCACTAAAGGTCACACTCGGAACCAGAGATCTTTCTAATGCTCAAATATCATAGCGGGTAATAGTTGTCATTGTTCATTAGAAAAAAAAATATTAAAGTTGGGAGACATGTGACAACATTGCACAGAAGTAAGGTTGTATAGGCGTGAACCAAGAATATACAGTACAGTATGTCTATCCAGCAAATTTATGGTTGGTTTGAACACATTTTAATCCAGTAAAAAAATTTTTGTGCAATTAATGTTTTACTGTACTTTGTTCATGTAAGCCTTTACAATGTGAACCCATCTGGATACAGACCAGAATAGCTGGCATAATCTAAAACTTGACTCAAATATGAATTTGGGTCATATAAACTGTAAAATAAATAATGGGTATTGATTGTCCATTCACATATGCTGTATCTGCATACCTTTTATATCCACAGGCTTTTGAGCATGGTACTGTTGTTGCATTTTGTGATTACTCCCCTATAGTTGAATCATGAATAGCTACTGCTTGGTATGTCAGTCCTTAGGTTCCAGTGAACCAAGCACTTCTCCAGCTCACCAGTAACACTTCTTCATACTTCTACAGTATAATCATGCCATCTGCTTAAGAGGGCTAAAAAATACAAATAAAACTTCAGTAAACAAGTTTAAGACTACAGTATTTCTCCCAGAGATGTACATTTGTTACCTATGAAAGTCATTTATCCATTTGCCCTTAGGCCTGACTCCTATGGATATGATATAAATGAGAATGAAGTGCAATAGCACGCTAATTAATAAAAATACTGTACTTTGATAATCCACTGCTTTGAAAACACAAGGAAACATGGCCTGTATATTACAACCCAATCCGGTAACAGTGAGCGAGAATAATAGCTGCAGCTGCTTTTATGGCGTCAAGTCAGGTCTCCTGGGGAGAGGTGTAAGCATTAGGTAATAACCTCCTTGTTACATAATTGCTTATTGAATCTGGTAACCATTGCCCTGAGGAGATATTAAAATTTGGATTATTGTTTATAAAAGTAGATTCTATTATAAGTAAAATTTGGAACTTGGACTGTAGTAATGGAAAGTTAAATTTGAATGTTAACTACATTTTCACTAAGGTTTCTGTTGATGATGTTCTATTATTCCTTGAGGACAAATTGAAAACTTTCCAACATATTTTGCCTTTTCCAGTAACTAAGAAAACAGAACTAACAGTTGTGTGTATCTACTAACGTATTTTTGTTTTGAAACAGTTTTTACCGTAAAAAATATGGTTGTAGTATGGGTAGTCCCTTATCTCCAGTGTTATCTAACCTGTATGTGGAGTACAGTACTCAGAGACATGCATCCTCTCTTAGATCAACCCTTAAGACATGATTTGGTACAGATTCATTGATGACATATTTACATGTTGGAAGGATAACTGGGGGTCTTTCTCTGAATTCTTTGAGAGGCTGAAAGCACTAGTTACCAGTATCAAATTTAAAGTTGAATGGGAATCAGATGATAAATTACCCTTTCTAGACATCTCGGTAATAAGGAGTAACACCTCGCTGCGCTTCATCGTTTGCAGGAAAGATACATATACACGTAGCTTTCTCCATTACAGTACTTCAGCAATTGTGTGAAGAAAGTGAATAGTAGTGTTGCTTCAGGTCTTTTCTCAATAGCATTGCAAATCTGTAGTCCTCAGTGGTTAGACATTGAAATCAATAAAATATACAGTCAACTCAATAAAGCAGGATACCCTAATTGGTTCCTTGTTGAAGCTTTGAAAGTTTCCAAAGCAAATTACTATCAGACAGACACCATTAGGCAGCAGGAGATTGCCATTGAGAACAGCTTGGTCATTTCATATAGTTCTAACATAGAGCACATTGTTAAAAACTAAAGCAAACTAGGTAAAACAAAATTCCTTTTCAGTTACATCAAATAAAGTCAGAAATGAAATGAAAGGGGGAGGAGGAAGTGGGTATGAGTGGATCAAGTGGGAGATTGGGGAAGCAGGGTGGGGGCTGGCCCCTCATTACATCTGCAGTGCACTTGTGCTGGTACCACAAGAGACATTTCTGTGGAGAGCCTCGTCGGCTCTCGAAGCTATCCGAACTGATATGTGCTATGTTAGTCTGAGGTCATTGTTACGTGCCGCCTTTAACTGCTTGTGAATAGCAGTCTCCCTGAAATTTCCCCAAAATCACATGTGCACTAGGTGATTTGTTTAGACTGGAAGGAATGAGAGACTAATTCAACTATACACCAGTGTATATTAAAGCATAATATACAATTACTCAGACATACATACATCTAATTAGATTAAGGAAATGTGACCGGTTCAGTATTAAGGACCAACATTAGGTAAACACAAGTAAATCAAAGGAAATGGCTAATTAACTGATAATCACAAATGACACACCTAATAACTAAACACCGTTTGTGAAGGGTTGCCTGATTAGTTTTCTTTTTAGGAGAGTTATTGTGATATTTTTGGATGTAGATTCAAAGTTTAACCAGACAGCGGTCTGTTTTGATTTGTCTATCTTTCTGGTTCTTTTCCCGGTCGATGGCAATTATAACATACAGTACAGTACTTTAAATGTAAAGTGCTCATAGACCATTGCTCCCTGTGCCTCTCTGACAGCCAGATTCTGGTTCAGGTTCCCAACAGGTCATGTTGGTGTCAGAGGACTGGCACTATATTTAGACTTTGCAGTACCAATGCATAAGCACCAGAAAGCTACTGAGTACCTTTCAGAAAAGGGCATTTCATTAAATTCAACATATGATTTTTTCTAATATGTGCACAACTCTTTGCAGAAATATACAGATGCTGCTAAGTTCTCTACAACATCATACAGGCTACTATGCTCGACTTTTTTCTGGACCAAACATGATGCCTTCAATATCTCAAATCCAGAAATTAATTGAGCAAGCATGGAGAAATGGATTTGATCTACAAGTGAGTGTTTGTTAACTTAAATTTTTATTAAATTATCCTAGATAGAGAGGCATTTGCATATTTGCTTGTTTCAATTATGTGCAGAGAAGGTTCATAACTATATTGTTACTGAGTGATGTATCCCCTGGAGGTAATGGTTATGATGATTTTATAATCATTTGAATACATTATTGGGGTTGGGAAGAAATTGAGCAATATTTTGACAAATTAGAATAGCTACATAATAATTCCTTCACCCATGCCCTAATGCTCCCAGTAGTATGAATTGCACTAGATTACTAAAGCTGCTACATTTTTATGTATTGAAAGACAGTCTTTTGGTGCCTCATACTGTTGCTTCTTGTCTGTTGATTATGGTGAGGCCTCTTTTGTTGGCTTTTGGCGTTGACATTTCGTCATTGCTTCTTCGTACTTTCTCTTACCTTTTTCTACTTCGGCCTCCTTCTCTTCCTTCTAAGCTTTTGTGATTTCTGTATTGTGTGCATCAAACATGTGAGTGGTGCATGTCTGATGGGAACAGCTGACAGGGGCTCAAGTTGCCGGGGCTGCCATTTGGTGGTGGACACCTGTAACTAACTAGTAATTGGGACTGGACAGCAAGTGTATACATAGCTTTTGTCAGAATTACCAGTGTTTTCCAGTTGCTTATTTTTGGGCTCTGCCTTTCTGGTGGTTTTCCTTTCATTCTGGCTTGATCCTCAGATTCCCTAGCCCCTATTGAGGGGGGCCCAGATTCTGTTTCTGGTCATCGGTAGACATTTTTTACTCAAAGGGCTTGGTGGTGGTACCTTAGACTTTGAGCTAATTAAGCATTTCCTTACATTTGTCATTGTAACACATTGACCTACAACTTTCACATACTTGAGTACGAATGCCAAACAATGTTTATTACAGCATACATATAAATTCGTGAATTAAAACTGCCTTATTCATTGTCAATAACTTCAACTTCAATTATATCTATAACTAGAATTTCAACTTCAGTATACAAAAATCTAGTTTCTGACCGATTCTCACCATTTTTACATATAGTGTGTACAGCTGTCTGTTCTAGAATCCCTATAAAATTAATTTTTCATAAATTCTAAATGTTTGGAGTTATAAATTTTTGTTGTCTAAATTTGCGCATATTTCAAATGTCATACTGACAAAATTTGTTTACAGTAAACTATACTGAAAACCTATACAGTATTCTAAATACTGTATATGAAAATGAAGATCATATGCTTATTCTGAGAGCATAATAACACCAAATGAACAGTTGGTGATATTTTTATATTTTTGTAGCTGATTTCAAAATCTGACGTTTTCAATATTAAATTTTCTAATTATTTTTTCTTGTTTTTCAAGTTACACTTGTATCATTTAGACAAAGTTGAAGAATTTGCCTAGTAGATTATGCACAAAACATTTGAAAACGTTTCAAAAAATGTTAAAAAACTGAGTTCAATGTCAAACATCATATGATGATTTGTGCAGTTTAAGGATTAAGAGGAGATGTGGAAAGGGAAAGCTCCAAGTCTGCTAACAATAGTTGTCTGCTTTTGTGTTCACCAGTGGAAAAAAAATTATTTGAAAATCTGGTTTAATTTTTTCCAGTTAACCCAAGCAACCAGTGAATACTGTAGTGTGGCACAGTAAATGAACGCCATTATTTGATACCTCTTGTCTTTATTGAAGTTACTTTTATTTACAGGGATGTGAGCAGTTAGGTGGTAAGTTATCCAACACGAGGAAATGGATTGGTGCAACAGAAGTTGTAACCTTACTCTCATCCTTCAGAATCAGGTGAATTAATAGTAATATGAGCAATATTTTATGTGAAATCATAAGTTCCAGAAATTAAAAATAAACGACAGGATAAATTGTTGATAGTTATATAAATATACTGTATGTTAACTGGCTGTAATAAATACAGTAATAATACATTTTGTCGGGGTATTGTAGCCTATGTATATACAGTGGTACCTCAGCTTACGAATTTAATCCGTTCCCAGAGATAGTACATAACCTGAAAATTCGTAAACCGAAAAGAATTTTCCTACAAGAAATAATGTAAATTGAATTAATCCGTTCCACACCCAAAAATATTATTTTCAAAGTAAATTTTATACCTAATTCACCCAAATCATTAGTACTAAAGTATGTACAAGTTATTGCTTACCTTTATTGAGGACTCTTGTTGGCATACGGAAGACGGTGAGGGAGGGGGGAGGAGGAGAGGTGTTTGGAAGGGAAGTCCCGTTCCATTATAACATCAGGCAGTGATGACTTCTCTGGAGTACTCTATCTCCTAAGTTTTTCAGGAGTACCACTAGGACCTGGTTGTGGCTCACTGCTTGCTTGTCATACTAAGAATCTGTCTAAAGACATTTGTTTTCCCTTACATTTTAATACTTGTCTGTAGTGAGACATCACATTGTCATTCAAATTGTCAATGCAACGGCCTGCTACAGCTTTATCTGAGTGAGTTTTTTCAACAAAACTTTGCAGTTCTTCCTATACTTTACACATTTTCTTAATGAGGAAGGCGCATCCTCTACTGCCTCTACTCACAACTATTTTCTTAGGTTTAACCTTACCACTTACTTTCTTAGGACCCATGGCCAGATATATAATAATTACTTTATGTTCAAATTCACTAAAATCCGAAAAACACTGAAATTCTTTACAAAGAATTCAAGCTCGATTGTTGCTAGGTGGGAGGTACTGGTAAACTGAGGCGCAGTCGTCGTGCCACCACGCACTAGGTCGGCCATACTCATATCAACAAACTACGTTACCTGATGCAAAGTTCATAACCTGACTCGGATTTTATGAAGAAATTGGGCTCGTAACCCGAAAAGTTCGTAAAGAGGGACATTCATAAGCCGAGGTGTCACTGTATATACTTTAGGCTTATATTGAGGTCCCCGATGGTTGAATTACTGCCTTTACCTTCTCCAGGATTGAACCCCCACAGCAGTTGCCTAACTTCCAGGTACATATGTAATGCTAAGTGAACAGCTGTATTTGGTGAAAGCAAATGTGTCCAATCATTTCTGTCCCACCAGGGACTCAAACCTAGGATTCCCAATTACGAGTTGAGAGTGAACCCATCTGTCATTGTTGTGTGTGTGTGTACAGTATTTAATTTCTGGAACTTAAGATTTCAAGTAAAATAACTGAATTGTGATAATTTATTAAAAAGTATGGAGAATTTTGAATTTAATTCAATAACAAGTCTGTGTTTCACAAGTTTGACATAGCCCTCAACTCCAGGTGTCAGTTGATTGACTGCCATCGACCAACAGGAGCAGATGGGACCCACCCAGAATTGTTCCGATGGTGCCTTGACTATTTTTCCAAGCCTTCAGAGTTCAAGCCTCCTGTATATCTCCAGCATCAGGGTTAGATTCTATGGATTTTAATTATGTCTTTTTGTTTTATAGACTTGTTTTATTTGGATTTGTCCGTATGTCTTTTTGCTCTTGTATTGGCATCTTGATTATTCTATGACATACAGTGCTAAAGCCTTCATGACTTGGTGCTTTCTTTTATTAATTGCTTAGTGTGCCATAATGCAAAAGAAGGCATAGATGGATGGGGGCGCCCTTTAGAGTGCAGTAATAAAATTAGGATAGAATCACTATGGGAGCAGGCCAAGAACTCCCAAGGCTAACTGCTCTGATTTCATCAATGCCAATAACATGAATATGTTGTCTTGGTTTTCTCTGACCAGATGAAAGATGAGAGGAAATATCAGCACTGTGGAAACATGCCCGACAGACCACTGGAACATTATCTAACACAGTGCACAGTTACAAACCTGTTAAGATTTCTACTTAGATTCAACAGAGCAGAAGTTGTTGTTAAACACATGGGACAAAATCATACTGAAGTAACAATACAAGTCATAAATACTCATACTCTGCCCAAGTAAAACAGAAACAAGCAACACTTAGTGGGCCAGCCAGAGGCTTAGGGCCCACGCAAGAATATCCCTGCAAAAAAAAAGAAAAAGAAAAAAAAGAAAAAGAAACTTCCGATGTTACCAAAACACCGTAAATTGAAAATAAATCGTGCTCTATCTCTGGGTAAAAGCAGCAAAACCTGTCTGTACAAAGTGATGGAGAAGTCAACACATTTGTTGAAAAATATTAGCAATGATGAAAATTCAAAACTGAGTGAAGAAATTTTTGAGCTGCTGTAATGGAGTGAAACAGAAATGGTATTCCTTGATATAAAGGCAGTAGATGATGATACTATCCACTTCATCTTTATCAGGGAACAACTTACACTTTCCTCAGATCTCATTTACAAGTGCTTCAACTTTCACACAGATCTAAAAATATTCAAGAACACCAACCTCAGGTGACACTAGAAGATAGAGGAAAGAGGTGATATAATCACCACTTACAAAAAATAACAGAAATAGACGAAACTGACAGAGGAACTTAAACCAGCAACTTCAAGAACAAGACAGATTCAAGCTAAGGAAACAAAGGTGTTGGAAAAATATTAGAAAGTTTTCTTTTGCAAACAGTGGTAAACAGTTGGAACAGGTTAAGTGAGAAGATGGTGGAGGCCAAAGCTGTCAGTAGTTTCAAAGTGTTATAAACAAAGAGTGCTGGGAAGACAATACACCATGAGCGTAGCTCTCATCCTGTAGCTACACTTACGTAATTACTCACTCGTCAAGACCTGTGATTGGTTGACAACTCTCAACAGATACTTGTGTACACCACCAGAAGTACTCCTGGAGAAGTTACATCTAAAAGAGTAACGATTTAAATTTTAAAGAAGCTGCCTCCTGCCATAAAACTAGTTGTACAATATATATTAATGTTAATATACCATATTTCTTCTGGAATATATTTATTAAATATATTTTATTTATACAGTTTGTTTAATTTGATGTGTTTAGTTTGTCTTAGAAACCATTTTTAATCAATTAAAGGTTTTTCATTTTAACCTGTATTAAATGCTACCATATTAAAAAATTTCAGGCCTTAAGTGATCCTATGACTCGGTGAGCCTTCTCTCTTATTCCTTCATGGTCTGAACAGTGTGTTTGAAGCAAATTGTTCAGTGGATCAAACAAATGTTCATTTTAGTGAGGATTGTTCACCTTAGCTACCGGTAGGATGCAGCCATGTTAGCTGCCAACCTAATCTGATTAACTATTATTTAGTACATAAAATGCTTTTGAACAAACTATAATATGACAATATTTTATATTTTATGTACAGTAATGTACAGGTATTATAAAATACTAGTAATAATGAAATAATTCAAAAGACATCCAAAAGGAAATCTATTATTGCGCTACATATCAGTCTATCAGTCCCCGTGGTGTAGTGGTAAGACACTCGCCTGGCGCTTTGGCCTTGGGTTCGTATCTTGGCCGGGGAGGATATATTGGGTGTCAATCCTTAACTGTAGCCTCTGTTTACCCAACAGTAAAATGGGTACCCTGGTTGTTAAACCATTTGACGGGTCGTATTCCGGGGAACAATGGATTAAGGACCTGCCCAAAATACTACGTGTGCTAGTGGCTGTACAAAAATGTAAGAACTCTTGTACAGTACAGTATATATAAATAAAATAAATAAATTAAAAAATATTACTGTGGATTGCACATGCCAAAAAAAAATTTATGCCATGTTCAAGTACTCAAAAAATACATAAGAGAAAAATACAAATAAATTATTATTAAAGTATTGTTGTCAGTCAGTAATAACTTGACAATATTACCAAAATAGATTTGGAAATGTTCTGAAGTCAGTCATAATATGCCTTCAAACAACAGAGCTGCTTGGTTGGCCGAGTCTACAATGGTGTAAGCAGTTAACACATTATATGCACCTTAATTTTTTTTTTTTTATTAACTATGTATTAACTATGTCATACAGCAACAACAATGGTGCTGAAGATAATAAGAAAAAGTAGAAATACATTTCCATTGGGCAGAAAATTGACATGATACACAAGTAGGTGTAAAGTGCTGCTACCACACTCAGGATATAAGGCAGGAGGGGAGGCTGGCTGCATGATCACCCTCTCTCTCACTTTCATTTTGTTTTATAATAAGTTTTACATTTGTGTGTTCAATAATGATGAATATATATCCAGTTTTAACACCAAATTGCTTGTCAGTGATTGTATACTCTATAGTATATGACAGTCAAAATGAAGTATGCACAATAAATTAATTTTGTGTGAATTCTAGTAGGGTTTCCCAGGGCCTAGTATTCCCACCTGGAATACTTCAAATCTTGGTTACCATTCAAAGCTATAATAAATCATGAGCACCTACCAGAGGCCTGGATTAGAATCTGGTAGAATAGAGGCAACGTGCAGTCTGGGGATTCAAGATCCCTAACGTACTGAAGGAAAGGCCACCAGAAAGATAGTACAATCAAACGATGAACTGCTTGGACAGCATCAGCAACCCTGTTGTGGAGTATGTACATATTCATTGTCTGGGTCCACTACTTAGCACCACTTACCACAAGATGTCTCTTCTTGTATCCTGGGGAGCCTGGCCAGCCACCCCAGTTTTTCCCACGTATGGTTGTTTCCTTTATGTGCCTAACTGCTCAGCCTGCGCAGAAAGGCAGATGTCATATATTACGAAAATTCCCACAGCCTTCAAAAAAGAAATAGACCCATTGCTCATGCACTTGCTTCCTGGGTCAGATTCCTGGAAGTGAAGAATGTCATTAGCCCTGGCACTTGGTATAATATGTAGGAAAAGTCTGGAGATACATGTCATCCTGCAGATCCTAAAAATTGTGGACATCACCCCACTTCACAAAGGTGATAAAACACTGGCATAAAACTACAGACTGGTTACACTGACATTACACATCATTAAGGCTTTTAAGAGGGTGCTAAAATGCCAATGTAATGGTTATATGGAAAGGAATGAGTTATATACTCCAGATCCTCACAGTCTTAGAGCAGGAAGATCTTTGCAACTACTTGATCTCTGACAAAATTACAGAGGCATGTTGTATATACAGGTTTTGCAGAAACATTTGAGTGTAACCATAAAATAGCCTTTAAAATAAAAGCTAAAGAAAAAACGGGTAGAGTTGGGTGGTGGGTTTTCAAAGTGCAGAACTTGGTTCTACAATGTACTGTCCTCACACCGTTGCTCATCCTCATAGAAGACATAACCGAGAATATAAGCCTTTCATAGAAGGAAAGTGTGCAGATATACTTTACTGCATGCACAGAGTTAATGAAACAGTTAAACTTTTGGGTTCCTTCAATCATTTCAGAATTTTGTTTGGGTGACTAACAAACATTTCTCAGGAGGAGGGAAGGAGATCAGGGGAAAGTGCCAAGCTAATATGACTATATAGCACTTGGAAGGGGGGGTCAGGATAAGGATTAGGGATTGAACAGGGGAAAGGAATGGTGTCCAACCACTTGCACGGTCAAGGATTGAACGACGACCTGCATGAAACGAGACCGTCACTCTATCATCCAGCCCAAGTAATTGGGCAAAAGATTGAGTGGTTGAGCTCAACCTTCTCAAGAAGGTCGAGTGTTTGCGACTCAAATTTTTAGTGTGCTTCACCTCAGCACGGGGTTGATACATGCTCCTCAACCAGTAGACTGGTAAAGCAGTTTTAAAAAGGTTTCCATGTTTGGAGAGCTGAGATGCTTACAGGATCCTATCATATCCACTACTGTACATTCCTGTCATGCCAGTGGCATAAGCTAAAGAAACTTTTGTTATGGTAAATGTTAGGAGCTAGTTCTGTGGATCAATGCCATTTTAGTTTATAGGATTTATTGAAAATGAAGGTTAACAATATTTGTTATATAAAATAGTAGTGCCATTGGTATCTCACATGTGCAAAATGTCAATACATTTTTTCAGGTCACAGCCGAACTGTCATTGGCGTTGAACAGCTTGGTGGTACTGAAGGAGGAATCCGCCTCCTGGTATTGGACCCGTCCCACTCCCCAACACAGATAGCACAACTTCTGCACACACATTCAGCACCTGCAGCCATGAGACTACTTCGAAAGCCACTGTCCAGCATGCGAGCCAAGCAATACCAAATGGTTGTTGTAGTTGGCCTTATTGAAACTGAACAGGAATATCAGGTCAGATTTAGTACAGTATTAAACACTTTCATCCCCAAGCTGGATGACCAGAGGATATAATTGTGCGTGTAACTACCCAAGTGTAGCTATAGGATAAAACTTGCACTCATGGTGTGCTGTTGTCCCTGTAATCTCTGTAATATGAAGTTTTGAAGGGTTTGATGGTTTTGGCATATAGAGTACAGTACTACCCTTCATTTAATTTATTCCATTTGTGAGCCACTGCAAAAGTGAATTAGCACAAGTTTTTGGGAGGGCCACCCCTTGTAGCACCCCAAGCTACACTGATATACCTGTCAAACCCTCAGTATCTACCACATCAGGCTCTAATGATTCATGGGTACCTACTGGAGAACAGTACCAGAATCTGGTCCCTCTCAATAGAGGGAAGGGAAGTTTAGGACCAACATAAAAGACTAAGAGAAAGACCAAGATGAAGGTAGAGTGCACCAAAACAGACAACTGCATGTACACATTGACAACACTAACCATAACTGCACTACCTATCATTACACAACCAATTGCCACCCTGGTCATCAGGAGAGCTGGGTCACCTACTCCATTCACATAACTGGTTTCACCCTGTCCAGTACTGGACTGGCCAACTGCTGGGCCCAGAGTCTACTTTTCAGATAAGTGTTAGCCATCTATTGGACTTTGTCTAGCATAGGGGCCTGTGCTTCTTGTTAGCTTCAGGTGCATGTTTTGCACCTCACTTGGTATGTTAAAGATGTAGTGTTCATTACAACAGCATGATGCCAGGTTCTTCCAGGGTTACCTTCTTTGAGAATGTTTGGATGCCTCTTCTTTTTAGGCTTCTCTCGAGGGGCCTGTTCCCAAGCAGTTCAGGAGCTTTTGCTCCTCTGCAAGGCTTAGTAGATGTGTGTGGCCATTCTCTTGCTGAGCCTTTTTTGTTAAGGAATGTATTGTTATGTAACATAATAAATGTGTGGTATTTTATCTGGCTGCATACCCTTTTCTTCCTGTTCATTACTTTTGCGTGACCAAGGGATTTGGATTTCCATGCTGCTTGTTGTTCCAGGACATGTTCCAATAGTCTGGTGTGTTGTTCATTTGGGCTTTTGTTGTCTGCATGCTTGCGACTTTATCTGTTTTTGTAGCATTGTACTACCTGCCTGCCTTTCAGTCCTGTGCTTTTGGAGCTATTCTTGAGTGCTCATGGCTCATTTCTAGGACAGTATTCCTGTGAAATGCTGCTTGTGTTGCTTTAGTTCCATTGTCCTGGCACTAATGCCCTGTGTAGTATTCGTGTTTCCTTCCTTTCCTAATAGTGAGTCATCCTCGTTTTTCTACCATTTTTCTATGGCGAGACAGCTCGGGGAATCACCAAAGGGAGCTCTTCCAGAAAACCAGCAATGAATGTAATGAAACTGCTCCTCCTGGTGGGACCCTCAGTAGTTGCTAGTACCTACCTTTCCACCTCTTCCCGTGGGTTTAGGGGTGATGTATGACGGTAGTTTGTGAATTTGGGGTAAACAACCTAGGGCTCCTGGGGTCCAAGGGATGTCATCAGATATGACAAATCAGTGGTTTAGCCCAGTTAATGATTGTTTACATAGTTAGGGTCAGCATTGCGTGTGTTATCCATACAGTTGTCTGTTTTGGTGTGCCCTAATGAGGGGATCAGTTACTGGTACTGATATCTAGTAGGCACTTCTGATTCAAAAGAGTCTAGGGTGTGATACTAAAGGTTTGACAAGTATACCAATGTGTAGCTCACTTGTAGTATCCTGTCTTTCCAGTACTCTGTCATATGACACTTTGAAATTATTGACGGATTATGTGTGTGTGTACAGTATGTAATTACCTAAGTGTAGTTACAGGATAAGAGCTACACTCGTGGTGTCCCATCTTCCCAGCACTCTGTCATATAATGCTTTGAAACTACTGATAGTTTTGGCCTCCTCCTACCTTCTCACTTAACTTATTTCAACTGTCTACCACTATGTTTGTGAAAGTGAATTATTTTTATTTTTTTGACAGCTTTGTTTAGTTAGCTTAAAGCTATGACTTCTTGTTCTTGAAGTTTTAGGCCTCAAGAATTCTTCCTTATCAATTTTGTTGATTCCCATCACTATTTTGTACATAGTGATCATATTGCCTCTTTTTTTTCTTCTGATTTCTGGTTTTGGCATATTTAGTGCCTATGGCCTCTTCTCATAGCTCTTGTCCTTCAGTTCTGGAAGTTGCATGTCTTCACGCCTTTTCCAGTTTGGTGATGTGTTTCTTAAGATATGGGCACCATACAACCATTGGCTATTCCAACATTGGTCTCACAAAGGCTGTGAAAGATTTCTTTAGTATTTCACTATCCATGTACAGTATTTAAAAGCAATTCTGAAATTGGAAAGCATAGCATAAGCTCCTTGCACAATATTCTTTGATCCTCAGGCAGCAGTTTTATGTCTAGAACTCTCCCCGAGATATCTTTATCAGAATTTTTTTTAAGCTTTTTAACATAATTTGTAGGTTGTGTGTAGTCTGTTTTCTTCTCTTCCACATTCCATAACATGACATTTATTCACATTGAATTCCATTTGCCACATGTCACTCCAAGCACTTTTTATCTAGTTCAATTTAAAGGGCATTACAATTGTCTGCATCTATCTTCCCCAGTATCTTGGGATCATCCACAAACATGTTTATATAATTCTGTAATCCTTCTGGTAAATCGTTTATGTAGACGATAAGTATTACTGGTGCAAGAACTGAACCCTTGGTACTCTGTTAGTAACACTCCTCTAGTCAGATACATTGTCTCTGATTACCACCCTCTTCTGTCTGTCAGTTATAAAATTTTTCAGCCATGTCAGAGGTCTCACTATCACCCCTCCAGCATGTTCTAGTTTCCAGAACATGCATGTGTGTGTGTGTGTGTGTGTTTTCTTGGTGTGTGTGTGTGTACGTACCTTAATGTAGTTGCAGGATGAGAGCAATTCTCATGGTATCCTATCTTATAATCTTTGTCATACTGTATAATGCTTTGAAACTACTGATGATTTTGGCAGTACTACTGGTCTGCCAAATACTTAATACTTAAGCTGTTCCAACTGTCTACAACTCTGTTCACAAAAGGGAACTTTATGTATTTTGGGGGGACCTTTGTTTCCTTACCAAATCTATGGCCGTATGTTTTATGAATTCTCCGTTGTCAACTATGTCAATTCCTGTCATTATTTTGTATGTGATCATATTGCCTCTTTTTACCTTCTATCTTCCAGCTTTGGTATATTTCAGGCCTCTAGTCACTCCTCGTAGCTCTTGTACATTAGATCCGGAAGCCATTTAGTAGCATGACTTTGTAACATGTTTATTGTTGTGTTTCTTGATATATGCACACTACACAACTGCTGCATATTCTAATTTCGGTGTCACAAATGTTGTGAACAGTTTCTTTGGTATATACTTTATATCCATCCATATATTTAAACAAGAATCTGATATTTGCTAGCACAGCATAAGCTCCTCTTACAACATCTTTGCTATGATCCTCCGGTAACAGGTCTACATACCAGACCCACTCCTAAGTCTCTTTCTTTATCAGCTGCCAGGTGACTCGAGGCTGGCTCTATTGCCCCTCTAAGAAGATCTGGCTCCTAAAATGACTCCTATATTTATATGCTCCAATGACTCCTTATGTAGTCTGAAATGGAGGTTTTCTTTTCCAGGGAGTTTTCAACCATTTTTTTTTTCTGAGCATAGCATTGCATGTTCTGAGACACAGACAATCTGACTGACTAAATAGTTTTCCAGGGAGTCTTTTGAACTTTGAATTTGAATAATGTTAACAAAAGAAAGAAGTGATAAAGGCCAGGTTGCTTTTGTTCAATTATTTAAAAAAACATTGGCCCTCTTTATATTGATCATGATTTTCATTAAATAAAGGCTTTTGTTGGTTTTTGCTACAGTATTACCAGTTGTCATGGTTTTTTTACTGAAACTGATAAAACTTTTTTTAACACATAAAAATTATGATAAAAACTGTATTTCTGAGCAAGGGTCATCTTAGGAGTTTACCTGCACTAGACCTTACTAGAGTTTTTTTTTAAACTGCTAAAATTTGAATGACTTCAAACAGCTTTTAAGCAGATTGGAAAACTGTGTGCAATGCATACGTCAACAATCCCTGAAGTAACTTCTCACTATAACCCACTCAAACCCTTCTTACCACTACTGTATAAGCTCCTTGTAAGTCATTCTTGATATTTTGAAAAATAACAAGAACATTTTTAAACTACAATACCCTATACTGCTTCTCTATCAGTCACCTATCCCAGCCACCACTAGGTAGCTGCACTACTGATTACCTGGTACAGTATTAGGTTAGGGTGAAATGGCCTGAATCTCCTGAATATTTATGAAACAAATTGCCAATTGATAAAATAGGCTTTATATGATCGTTGGATTGTTTTAAACGTATGTTAGATATTTATATAATTTGTCATCTACACTTTAGCGGAAATAAACATTCCATTCACCTGGGCTGTAGGAATCTCGAACCATGGACCCCACGAAACTGGAAACTTTCCTTATTAATAGTGTGTCACGGCGTTTTGCCGCGTAAGCGTAAAAACAAAAATGTGTATACTCTTTTTACTCTCCTGACCTTAGTTCTCGAGCTACGTATTTCATTTTGGTACCAACGTGTTCGCAATAAAATTCTCTAGAAGAACATCAGTAAAAAAAGTCACGAAACGTATAGGGATACCAGCACCAAATAAATAACTACGAAGATGACTCGCCATGAGCGCCCAACAGCAACAAAATGTTTTTACTTTTGGGATTGTTATCACCTCCACACTTGCCCTACAGCGTTAATTTTGGTATCAATGGACTTGCAATGAAATTCCCAACACGGTGATATGAATATAAGCGTAGAATAATGATTGCGGCCCGCCCGCAAGAGTGTGGGAAGTGGTGAAATTGTTACCCGGTATCGGTGACGGGACGACACACGGCGCTTTGAAAGTTTATACTTATTTCACTCTCATGACATTATTATTCTATGTACGTCATTCATTTTTGTGTCAATGTGTTCGCAATAGAATGTTCTATGAACCCGTAGGTAAAAAAGATCAACAAAGCGTAAGATAGAATAGCGCCAAATATAAAACAACGCTGGAACATATCAGTGAGAGTCAAACACACACGAAATGTTTTTACTTTTGTTATGTTTGTGAACCTTTCATGAACTTATTGTACCATGCAGCCTATTGGTGAGAAAGAGAGCCTCATGGCGCGCAGTTTGAAACAAACCCAAAGTAAATCGGATAAAAATTGAATTTTATACAAATATTTTAAAAGAGGACATAAATTTATGTCCACATTGCGGGAGCGGGTAGGCGAAACAGGACTCCGGGAGGAGTCCTCATCCGCAGAAAGTGTTAAGACTACTCATAGCCCAGGTGATAGAGCTTCGGCCTCACGGGCGTGGGGTTCACAGTTCTAGACCCATACAGCCCGGGTGAATGAAATACACATTTATGCTCAACCCATCCCTCTGTTTAGATAGTACCTATTGTGATGATTGTCAATAGTCATGAATTCGTACGTACTTGGGTTTTAGATAGTAGCATATTGACTAGTAAAGATATCTTAAAAACTAAAATGAATCTAAAAAAAAAAAAACTTAAATATTTCTAGGCCTAGTATAACACATGTACTATATTAGGCCTCAGATATCATAAGGCCTAGAAAGGTTAGGTTATTTTAGTTTAGTTTGTCAAAGGAACACAAGTAATAAATAGTTTTCTGGTTTGTCCAACTCATTAGTGCCGATTTCTATGTTCTAATTTGGTTGTTCGTGAGTATATATACTATGGTCCTCAGCGTTACTATAAGTATACACTACTACCAAAACAGGAGGATGCACTGGAATTTGGACAAATCAGAAAACTAAATTTTCTACTTGTTTCAAAGTCAAACTAAACTAACCTAACCTAATCTTCCTAGGTCTAATAGAGTACATGTGTGTGTGCTATACTAGGCCTAAGAATACTGTATTTAAGTTTGTTTTTTAGCTTCATTTTTACTGACTGTAAAGTGAATAGTACAAAATTCTAATCTAATTGCTTAGTACATCAATGTTTGTAGTATTGTGCACATAGTTACAAAAAGTACTATCTAAACAGGAGAACAAGTTGGATAAAGAATGCCGGGAAGACAGGACACCGCAAGTGTAGCTCTCATCCTGTAACAAGACTTAGGTAATTACACATATATAAACACACACACAGTTTGTGGTAGAAAAAAAAAAAAAGAGCCTCATGGCCGAGTGGACAGTTCTCAGGGGTTGTAGTCCTATGGGCCCAGGTTCAGTTCCCAGCCAAGGCAGAAACAAATGGGAAGAGTTTATTTTACCTGATGCTGCTGTTCACCTAGCAGTAAATAGGTACCTGGAGTTGCTATAGGCTGCATCCTGGGAATGTGTGTGTGTTAGGGAGAAATATACTGTATGTGGTAGATATAATAAGGGAAAAATGGCTCGGGAGTCAGGACATCAGACGACCGATAGTTAGAAAGGCGGGGTCCAAGAGCTAACAGCTCAATCCTATAGGCACAGATAGTAAATACATGCACACATTCAATTAGCTTTACCTATACCTGTTGATAATTCTGAGGGGTCAATGTCTGCGGCCTGATCTCTGAACAGGTCTCCTGGGTGGTAGTCTGGTCAACCAGGCTGTTTGATGCAGCTGCTCACAATCTGACATATGAATCAGAGCCTGGTTGATCAGGAATCCTTTGAAGGTGTTTATCTTGTTCTCTTTTGAACATTATGAGAGGTAAACCAGTTATAGATATTTATGTGTGTGTATATGTGTGTGTGTGTAGAGGAAGAGTATTCTCGTCCTTGGTCCTTTGATGTTGATTGTGTTCTTTCTTCAGTGTGCCTATTGCACCTCAGCTTTTCAGTGGAGTTGTTTTGCAAATCCTGCCATGCCTTCTGGTCTCATGTGGTGTTATTTCTGTGTGCAGATTTGGAACCAGTCTTTCTAGTTTTCCAAATGTAAATTATGTTGTAACTCTCCTGCCTGCTCTCTAGGGAATATCGATTTAAAATTCCTAAGCGGTCCCAATAATTTATTTGTTTTGTTGAGTAGATTCTAGCAGTAAAAGATATTTGCATGCTCTCCAGGTCAGCAATTTCTCTCCATCTAGGGGGGCCCCCCCAGAATTTTGTTGCCTATTACAGAATGTAGTGCAGATTTTGGGATATCTGTGTGGTATCCCATTAAGTGTGAATGTGTTAATAAACAAAAATATATAACTATTACATGAGTAGTGAAAATTTTACAATAAAATTTTTTGCATCAGCCACTATATGACTCGTGGAAAATTATGAAATTGCTGAAGTTGTTAATAATATCAGGCTGGCTTGTGTTTCAACATACATGAGTGATTTGGTAAATCACATTTGTCAATTTTTCATAAATTAGTTTTGTTAAATGGTTGCGGGGTAGCTCATTCTGTGATTATTGTTACTCCAGATATGTTAAAGTTTCACCAAATGAAATGATTCTGAGACAAAGCAACACCTTTTGAACATTGAAACTAGGATTTCCTGAATGCAGTTGCAAGTGTTAGCTCAACTTTAGATGACATTTCACATTGAAAAGCTTGAAAAGAATATTTAAAAGGAAAATAAAAACTGGAATAAATAAATTAGTGAAGTTTCAAAGGAAATGCTGTAGAAGATTTTAAGACTGAAATTATACAAACCTTTGCTCAAGAGGCTGGAAAGAAGGAATCAGTTGAAAAGGTAGTTAAAGAAGGTACAAAGATAAGAGCAGAAGTAAACAGTGTGGAAGAGATTTGTTACAATGGGGAAGTAAATGTAATGTAAATTAAGTGGGAAGGTAAATGTAACAGCCCCATAAGTGCAATAATGTATTATGTATGGCAGTCAGGCAATGTACTTATTACACTTAGTATTAAAACGTTCTGTCAATTTGGAGGATGGGTTGGTTTTTGGGGCTCAACTTTGGTAGGGTCAAAGACCTCTGTGCCTGGTGCTCATTCCTTCCTCCCAATTTTGGGCTCTGGGATGAATGTTGGCTCTATTCCTGGCCCTTCCTCTCCTCTGGCTGGAGATGGGGCTAGTTTTTTCTCCCTCCTGTGTAATAATTCTCCCCATTGAATACACTTTCTGCTTCTTCCAATCCATATGCTGGGTCAATGAAGCTTTGCCCTATTTTTTGAACCAAGGCTGTTTTGGTGTCCGGACTTCCCGTTTTTGCTTTGCAGGTTTGGTTGGGCTTGGATGTCCTGGTGTTGGTGCCTCCACAGTATTTATATTGAAGGGGAAATGTTGGGTAGTACAGGCTTCATTGCCTTTTGTGCCCCCTTTCCTTTATTCATCTCCTAGAGGCCAAGGCCGCCCAGGGGGGGAGGGGGGCATGTACCTGGCTACTTTACCACCTCTCCTGGTACTGGCCTCAGAATGATTTTGGCCTTTGAGTCCGCCTTTCCCGTGGTGCTCTGGACGTTGTGAGTTCGGCATGGTTGGGCCTCATGTGGCATCCCTTCTTTTCCTCCACTGCCCTTGTTTTGGCTGTTGCCTTGCTTCCATTTTCCGGTGCGGACTGCTTGGATTCTTGTCTGCCTCTAGAGTGCTTATGCGGCATCCTGTTTTTGCAAGCTTGGTATTCCCGCTGAGTAGTGTTTGACTGCGAATGCACTTCCAGTTTCTCCAGGGGAGCCTGTTTTGCCTGTGCTAGAGCCGCCAAGTTCAATCCCTGATTGTCCTGCAGCATTTTGCCATCGCTAACTACTTCATGCATTTTCCTTATTTGATTCAGTGGTATCTTCCTCTCCAGCATTCACCTTCTATCCAGATACCTTGGTTCTCAGCTGGGTGGTTGTTTCCAGAACCTCCTTGACAATCGTGGACCTTTGGGCAGTTAAAATTCAGCAAGCATGCATTACAGTTAGAGAATTGGTTGCGGTGTGGTACAGTCTATAACACATTTCATCTGGCTTTCCTCAGCCTACATCATTGTCTCCATTGGAGAAAGTCAGCTCTCTCTCTCTAGATGTGATGGTGGACTCCATATTTTGGTCTAAGCTTTCTAAGGCTATGGCTCTCTGCACAATTTTCTTTGCTTTGGGTGTAGATTATCCTCCTGGACAGTCTCTTATCTGTCCAGTTTGACTGTGAGGACAAGCAACAACCCATTGTTTCGCAAGTTCCTGTCACCTCTCCTGGGCTCCGAGAACTTTTCCCCTTGTATTTGACAGGAGTATTTCACATGTGATCTCTAGCCTTCCTGCTTGTAATGAGAGCCAAATTCAGGTCCTGTCTCCTGATAGGTTATTGAAGATTTCAGAGGTGTGGTAAATTACAGTATTTGTCTTAGTAGTATCAGAGCATAAGCACTGACAAGCTACAGATACCATATAACAGATACAGGGTACCAGAAAGGGGCATTTCATTACATTAAACTTTGGATTTTTTTTTGGTCAGTCACTTTTTTGAAGAGAAAAGAAATCAGCTTTGTTGGATTGAATTTTCTATTTAATTTATTATTTATTTTAAAATATTTTAGCATTTAAAAACATTTAAGAGCCGATTAATATTTTGTTAAATCATTCTTTTTAGACTTCATGATATAAAATATATATAATTTATATATATTTAATAGTAAAAAGAAATACATTTCCTTTACAGCAAAGCAAGATTCTTCAGGCATCAACCAGGATACCAAAGGAATGAACATAGCACTAACCAAAATTAGAATTTCCATTGTTAAAATTTTATCTGCTCTGTGTAAATTCAAGTAATAGAAAAACTGCATTTTTTTATATAAAAACTGTGTGTGTGTGTGTGTGTGTGTGTGTGTGTGTGTGTAAATCACATCAAAATTAACATGTGATGAATAATGTGATAATGTTGATCATGAAGGAAAATGCAACAGGAAATTCTTAAGTACATTTGTATTAATCAATACATCTTCAGAAGGATAAATATTTCAATTCAGTAGTGGGGGAAAAGCAGGAAGGATACAAGTGAGGTGAAAACACTGTCTTTGGTTTATGAACATAAGAACAAGATGAAACTGCAGAAGGCCCATTGACCAACACATGTAAGTTCCAGCAAGCAACGATACTAATGAGATAACTATTAATCATCTTAATCTTAAGCAGTTCCCGTGGCACAATGGTAGGACGTTCACCCGGCACTTCGCAAGTGCTTTGGCCTGGGTTCGTATCCTGGCCGGGGAGGATTGACCGGGCGCCAATCTTTAACTGTAGCCCCTGTTCACCCAGCTGTGCATGAGTGCCTGGTTATTAAATGATTTGGCAAGTCGTATTCGCAGAAAAAATTTGGATTATGGACCTACCCGAGACGCCATGTGTGATAGTGACTTTACAAGAATGTAATATGATCTTACTCAAATACTGTAGGTTTCTATTTATCACTTGAAAATGGATCCAAATTGTACAAGCCGTTACTAATGTTTATATTATATGGCTTTGCAGTTAGTATTAAAACAGATTCAATAATAATTCTATTGAAAAATGCTTTTACAATTAGTTATTGAAGAAGACCTCTCCCAATTCCAATCAGTTTGGTGAGAAGTGATGACCAAACCATACACCAGAAAATGAAGGAGACAACATTTTGGTCCATCCTAGACCATTATCAAGTCAGTTGTGGTCCAGTCCATCCTTGACCAGTTTCGCAATCGCCTTGATAATGTTCCAGGATGGACCGAAACTTTATGGTCTCTTCATCTTCTGATGTGTGGTTTAGGCATCATGAGTTTGGTGGAAAATTTCTCTGAGAATTTTCCCACCAAAAATACTGTTGGAAAATTATTAGTTAGAAACAACCTTTGTAGAGATAATTGTGTCATTTACAAAATCCCATGTAAAGATTGTAACATTCTACATAGCTCAAACATTCAAATTTTTCAGCATAAATATTATTCTGTAAAAAAAAGGCCAATTATCTAATGCTCTGCTTATTAATTTGCCAAGCGTGTGTCTTGCTTTCCGACCGCCCCTCGCGGTCACCTGTCCCTCGATAGAATTCTTGGTGACTCGGATACTTTTGATATCGTTCGCCTTACGCGTTTTTGTTCTCGTATTGGCATCCTTGGTGATATTTAGCGCCCTCTGATTATTTTGCGTATTTGATGGTGCTATATAGCCTTCCCGGTTTGGTGCCTTCTTTTGATAATTACTTACTTATTAATTTGCCAGAAAATTATTGCCAAATTGATTAGGAGAGGTCTTCAATAATTAATTGTAAAATCATTTTCAACAGAAACATTATTGTATTTGCTCTAATACAAACTACAAAGCCATATAATATAAACATTACTAATGGTTTGTACAATATGAAACCATTTTTAAGTGATCAATTAAAAACATATGAGAAACATCATTAATACAGTTATCTCATTAGTATTGTTGTTTGCTGGAACTCACGTGTATTGGTCAATGGGCCTTCTGCAGTTTCCACTCGTTCTTATGTTTATAAACCAAAGATATAATTTTCATCTCACTTGTATTCTTCCTGCCTATATATTCCCCACCACTGAACTGTAAGACTCATCCTTCTGCTGGGAATGTATTGAATAATAAAAAAGTACTAAGGAGCTTCTTGTCTCATTTTCCTTTGTGGTCTGATTATATATACTGTACTGATTTTATATATATATATGTCGTACCTAGTAGCCAGAACTCACTTCTGAGCCTACTATGCAAGGCCTGATTTGCCTAATAAGCCTAGTTTTCATGAATTAATGTTTTTTCGACAACCTAACCTACCTAACCTAACCTAACCTAACGTTTTCGGCTACCTAACCTAACCTAACCTATAAAAATAGGTTAGGTTAGGTTAGGTAGGGTTGGTTAGGTTCGGTCATATATCTACGTTAATTTTAACTCTAATAAAAATAAATTGACCTCATACATAATGAAATGGGTAGCTTTATCATTTCATAAGAAAAAAATTAGAGAAAATATATTAATTCAGTAAAACTTGGCTTATTAGGCAAATCGGGCCTCGCATAGTAGGCTGAGAAGTGAGTTCTGGCTACTAGGTACGACATATATATATATATATATATATATATATATATATATATATATATATATATATATATATATATATATATATATATATATATATATATATATATATAAAATTCGGAAAAACCACATGTGAAAAATAGAGAATGCTAAATGTGGTTTTGGCTGAATTTGCCTTCATCAGAGCATTTTAGAATGAAGAAGGAAACGTGGATGGCAACCTTATATCTGCCAGGGCAGGTCACAGAATAAAGGCCTACTGACCTAGATATAAAAGGATGAAAAGGGGGGTTAAATGGATGCTTATATTGCATTGATTTGGTATACTGAAGCTTATATGGGGGATCTGATTTGTACATGGCAGGACTTACATGAAGGCTGTTGTTACATTGCTTGATCAGAGTGGACTCAATCACATTTCGTTCAACAAAACCCTTACTTTTTGTTTTAACAATACATTTCGTCCCTCTGAAGTCGATATAGACTTCAGAGGGACGATATCGAAGTCAAAATGTATCGTTAAAGGTAAGGGTTTCGTTGAACAAAATGTGATTGAGTCCGCTCTGAACAATCAATGTAACAACACCCTTAATGTAAGTCGTTGTTGGTAACAAACTGCGTACTCTTAAGCGTAGTGTGTCCCCGTGGCCTTCCTCCTGCTACCATAACTGGCGGTGGAAAACGGCTCTGGCAAGGTTACATATTGACCATACTCGCTTAACACATGGTCACTTAATGTAGCGCCACCCTGCTCCTTATTGTCCTAATTGCATTGTCCCTCTTACGGTCGTGCATATCCTTGTTGAATGTCCTGACTTCCGGGACGAGCGTGTGTCTTGTTTTCCGACCGTCCCCTGCTGTCGCTTGTCTCTCGATAGTATTCTCGGTGACTCGGATACTTTTGATATCGTTCGCCTTCTGCGTTTCTGTTCTCATATTGGCATCCTTGGTGATATTTAGCGCCCTCTGATTATCCCGCACATTTAATGGTGCTACATAACCTTCCCGATTTGGTGCCTTCTTTTTGATAATTACTTACTTAATGTAGCGCCACCCTGCTCCATATTGTCCAAATTGCATTGTCCCTCTTACAGTCGTGCATATGCTGGTTGAATGTCCTGACTTCCAGGACGAGCGTGTGTTTTGCTTTCTGACCGTCCCTCGCGGTCACTTGTCCCTCAATAGAATTCTTGGTGAATTGGATACTTTTGATATCGTTTGCTTTATGTATTTCTGTTCTTGTATTGGCATCCATGGTGATATTTAGCGCCCTCTGATTATTCCGCACATATGGTGCTACATAGCCTTCCCGGTTTGGTGCCTTCTTTTGGTAATTACTTACCTAATGTAAGCCCTAGCATGGACAAATTAGATCCCAATATAAGCTTCAATATAGCATCCATTTAGCCCCTTTTTCATCCTCTTATATCCGTAGGGATCCCCCCCTTTTCCTATTCTTGTATATAGGTCAATAGGCCTTTATTCTTATGTTCTTGGTGGTCAGGTGACCTGCCCTGGCAGTTATAAGGTTGCCATCCACGTTTCCTCCTCCTTTCTAAAATGTCCTGATGAAGGCAAATTGAGCCAAAAATGTGTTCAGCATTCTCTAATTTTTCAAACGTAGTTTTTCTGCCTACATATACAGTATATATAAGCATGCATGTATGTGTTTGTGTGTGTGTGTGTATATATACATACACGCACACACACACCTAATAACCAGAGTTGCCTAACAATCAAAATTTTCTTGGAATATTAAATTTTTCAAATATTTATTCTTGTGAAATGATAAATGTTTTTGTTGAGTTATATTTAATTGGGATTTTTTTTTATTTGAGTCAAATCTAACATAAAAATTTAACCACACGAAAAAAAGGATTAGTCACCAAGAAAATCTAAGGGAAATTATTGACAGTTAGCTGGGGAAAATTTGACTTTTTTTTTATTTGTATTCGCCAATATGAAAAGTTTTAATCCACTTGCAAATTGAAGAATATTGGTAAAGCTACTGAGACATCCATCAATATAGAAATACTGCTCAGGACTTATCATTGATCTGTGAATTCTCTGGTTCTTTCCACAAGCCACCAGCCTGCCACTGACACTTGTATCTCCTCATGCCTGTACCACTCCCACACTGCATTGTCTACAACCTGCTCCTAGGTTTACTCACTGCCATTCTATTACATGCATTACATACATATTACTATTACGTATATTCTATTACATACAAAACCGAAAACATGATGGAAGTGCTTAGAAATGCCAGGAAATTGCAGTGTGATGAGGATGGCAAACTTTGGTCAATAAGACAAGACCTCTCAAAGGAAGACAGAGAAAAGCTGAAAATGAACCTCACTGAAGCAAAACATCTAAATGGGAATAGAAATGAAGAAGAGAGAAATTCTTTTTTCTACAAGGTGTTGGGAACTGAAAGGCTAGTGAAATGGTACATGAAAACAAAGCAACAAAATAGTGGAAAGGGAAGTAAAGACCTAAGGGAAAGGGAACTTGTTTTTGAAAATTGTATATACCATCATAGATGGAGTGAGATAAAAAAATATTAAGAGCTGAAAGACATAATTCAGCTTAAGGTCCCAGATATTGTCACATTAACAGAGACGAAACTTGAATAAAATATTATAAATGAAGTTGTATTCCCAAGGGGCTACTCAGTTTGGAGACATGACAGGAAAACTAGGAAGGGGGAAGGAGTGGCTGTTCTGGTGAAAGAACACCTGAAGGCAAGAGAGTTCATACTTGAAAACCCTCGAGAAGTTGACCAAACCACACACTAGAAAGTGAAGAGACGACGTCGTTTCGGTCTGTCCTGGACCATTATCAAGTTGATTGTGATAATGGTACACAATCAACTTCATAATGGTCCAGGACAGACCAAAACGTCATTGTCTCTTCACTTTCTAGTGTGTGATTTGGTCAATATTTTTCAGCCACATTATTGCGACTCATCTGCACTCGAGAAGTTGACAAAATGGCATTACATGTCTGGAATCTAGATGATAAACTGATACTTGTAAATGTCTAGACCACCAGCAAGCAACACATGGACAAAGGAAGAACTGGATGACAAACGAGAGGCCCACATAATGGTCATGAGAGAGATTATAACAGCAGCAGATAGATAAATCATTACTGTTGATACTGGGTGACTTCAACTTTAAAGCAATAGACTGAGAGGCCTACAAAGCAAGAAAGAAGGACATTTGGACAGGCATATTTGTAAACCTGTTTTAAATATTTGTAAACAGCGATAAATTCTAGGTACTCAGATACTGTAAAAATGAGAACCTTAAACATAATACAGGGTAAAAAACCACAATCAAATTTTTCCATAGTAGGAAAGCAACATGTAAAGGATTTGGGAATAATGATGTCTGACGACCTAACTTTTAGGAAGCATAACCAAGCAAATATTGCGTCAGCCAGAAAAATGATTAGATGGATTACGAGAACTTTTAATCCAGGGATCCCATCACAATGGTGGTACTCTTCAAATCACTTGTGTTGTCCCATCTTGAGTACTGCTCAGTACAGTACTCACTTCCCCCTTCAGAGCAGGAGAGATTGCAGAAATAGAGTGAGCACAGAGAATATATACTGCATATATAGACGCGATAAAGCACCTAAATTATTGGGATCATCTCAAAGCCCTCCAAATGTACTCGCTAGAACAAAGTTGAGAGATATCAAATAATATACACGTGGAAAATACTGGAGGGCCAGGTCCCAAATCTACACAGTAAAATAACATACTGGAGTGAATGACATGGAAGAAAATGCAGAATAGAACCAGTGAACAGCAGGGGTGCCATATGCACAATCAAAGAACACTGTATAAACATCAGAGGTTCACGATTGTTCAACATCCCCCCAGCAATTATAAGAAATATTGCCGGGACAACCGTGGACATCTTCAAGAGAAAACTAGACTTTTCTAAAAAAAAAAAAAAAAAAGTGTCGGACCAACCGGGCTGTGGGTATGTGGGCCTGCAGGCCGCTCCACACAACAGCCTGGTGGACCAAGCTCTCACAAGTCGAGCCTGGCCATGGGTCGGGCTTGGGGAGTAGAACTCCTAGAAGCCCTTCAAGCAGGTACCCTCATTCTGGAGACATTCATGTATCAACACATCAAGCAGGCCACAAGAATGAGGGAAGTGGATGTTCCGTCACATACATAGTTCCAATCTACAAAAGTGGCAGCAGGGAAGACCCCTTCAAATATGGGCCTGTATCATTGACAAGTATCAATGATACACTTGTATCAATTATACACAAGTCAAAATATTGGAAAAAAATAAGTAAAATAAACTGGGTAGCACACCTGAAGAAAAACGATATAATTTCAGACAGTATGGTTTTCGATCTGGAAGATCTAGTGTAACGAATTTACTCAGTTTCTGTAATCGAGACACAGATATTTTACAGGAAAGAGGTGGTTGTGTTGACTGAATCTATCTGCACCTAAAAGGCTTTCGACAAGAGTTCCACATAAGAGGTTGTCCTGGAAACTGGAACATATTGGAAGGGTAACAGGTAAGCTTCTAACATGGATGAATTTTTTTTTTTTTTAACTGTATTAGACTGGAGAAATGTCACAAGTGGAGTACAACAGGTTCTGTTCTTGCACCGGTTTCATTGTCTACATAAATGATCTACCAGATGGAATACAGAATTGTATGAACATGTTTGCTGATGATGCTAAGATAATAGGGAAGATAAGAAACTTAGATGATTGTCATGCCCTTCAAGAAGACCTGGACAAAATAAGTATATGGAGCACCAATTGGCAAATGGAATTTAATGTGGATGAATGCCATGTTATGGAATGTGGAATAGAACATAGACCCCACACAACCTATAAAATGTGTGAAATCTTTAAAGAATTCTGATAGTTTTCTATCTAGAACCACCCTTAAATCTCTATCACCTAAGGACCATCCAAAGAACATTGTGTGAGGAGCCTATGTTACACTTTCTAACTTCAGAATTGCTTTTAAATAAATGGATGGCAAAATACTATAGAAATTGTTCAAGACTTTTGTTAGACCATAGCTAGAATATGCAGCGGTTATATGGTGCCCATATCTTAAGAAACATATCAACAAACTGAAAAAGGTGCAAAGACATGCAACTAAGTGGCTCCCAGAATTGAAGGACAAGAGCTACGAGGAGAGGTTAGAGGCATTAAATATGCCAAAATTAGAAGATAGAAGAAAAAGAGGCGATATGATCATTACATACAAATAGTATCAGGAGTTGATAAAATCGAAAAGGAAGAATTCCTGAGACCTGGAACTTCAAGAACAAGAGGTCATAGGTTTAAACTAAACAAAGCTGCCAGCGAAATGTAAGAAAATTCACTTTCGCAAACAGTGGTAGACGGTTAGAGCAAGTTAGGTGAGAAGGTAATAGAGGTCAAAATCGTCAGTAATTTCAAAGTGTTATATGACAAAGAGTGCTGGGAAGACGGGACATCACGAGCGTAGCTCTCATCCTGTAACTATACTTAGGTAATTACATACACACACACACACAGGCAATTATTGATTTGTGGGGTACTCTATAAAACAAACCGAATTCAATGTTATGCAGGTAAGCATTTTTATACAGTACCAAATTCTGAATTAAGCATTTGAAATTTTATGGAATTAGATTTACCCATTCATATACCTGCATGTCTAATCTTCACTTAAAACAATCCTGTGATCTCACATCTATTATATTACCTGGTAATTTGTTTAATAAATCAACTCCCCTATTTCTAAGCTAGTGTTTACCCAGGTCTTTCCTAATTAGAATATACAGAAAAGGTGGTGTTGCCGGATTGGTGAAGGAACACCTACATGTAAAACTCAAATGTTTAGGTATTAGCACTTGAGATTCAAAACCAGACCAAAAAAATTATTGATCATAAATACAGCCTACCGACAAGTAACCATGGACAAGAGTGGAACTTGATGACAAGCTGGAGAAACTGATAACAATAATGAGATACATAATATAATGAGTAAATAAAAATAGTGAGATTGTTGGCACTGAAGTCAGTAGATCAAAAGCTTTTGAGGCATCAAACACAAATGGACAAGCAAATTCGTAATTTTTATCCTACTGATATTTATACATCAGCATGGCTACAAGAGTGAAGCCATGCTAGTAAAGCATGGCTTTACTAGCTAGTAAAGCTAGCTACTAGAATTAGGGTAAGGGAATGTCTGATCATTGCTGATCTCATTTCTTCCACGAAAGAGGGATAAATCTTTGGATTATAGTAAGTACCTCCATTAGACAAAATTGATATGTCCTAATTGAAATTAAACATTGTGTTCAGTGAGCCATAGAAGACAATGTAGAGGCGATATTAAAGAGCTAAGATAAAAAGGTAAGGTTAATAATTCTAACACGAATTTTCTCAATATTTCTTATGTTTTTCTTCACTGTCGATGGTAATTGAAATATAAATTCTCCAAAATTCATTTTTTTTTTTTTTTTATTATTTATTGTCTGACTCCTGAACGCATTTCGTAATTTATTACATTTTCAAAGACTTAGTTTACACGTAAAAAATTCATCGTACTTATACTCGTTTTGGGTGAGGTGATATGGCGCAAAAGTTTTGGGTGAGGTTGTAACGATTCTATTGTTACGTAAAGTATGGTGACAAATAAACACAGACACTAAGATACTATATATATATTTGGTCGAATATACAGAAGTACACAGGTGATACTTTGGTGTGAGTTGAGCGCACTGAGCGTCGGTACAGTATCTCGCAAGTGTCTGCTCTAGACCACACTTGAAAGAAGACTAGTTAATGTTTGCTATTCTGCTGCTTATATGCTCGGGCAACACCTCACTGTGTTGCCCGGGCAACGCCTCACCTCATTCATCTCCAAAGGTTGACAATGCATTTGGAGCGAGTATATTATTGGGATAATCTTCTCACTACAAGGTGATATGGCACAAAAGTTTTGGGTGAGGTGACAAACACAAGACAGAACACGAAACAATGGGTATAAATTGGGTATGAAAACATAAGAATGGAAGTAACTGCAGAAGGCCTATTGGTACATACCTCCTCTTGCTGCTTCTGTGTTGGTTCGGGGTCTTGAAGTGGTAGAATATAGTTGTGCATTAATAGCCAATTAATGCACAATTTTGAACTTTTATGTGTAAACTAAGTCTTTGAAAATGTAATAAGAAATTACGAAACGCGTTCAGGCGTCAGACAATAAATAAAAAATTAATATTGGAGAATTGATATTTCAATTACCATCAACAGTGAAGAAAAAGATAAATATTGAGAAAATTTGTGTTAGAATTATTAATCTTACCTTTTTGGTCATATTCAACAGCATATATTTACCAGAAAGACTGCTACCAAAATATACTAATATATATATATATATATATATATATATATATATATATATATATATATATATATATATATATATATATATATATATATATATTTTTAAAAACCTAGAAGGGGCAATATATATATATATATATATATATATATATTTTTAAAAACCTAGAAGGGGCAATATATATATATATATATATATTAGTATATTTTGGTAGCAGTCTTTCCTGTAGACATATTTTATTAAATATGACCGAAAAAGTAAGATTAATAATTCTAACACGAATTTTCTCAATCTTTCGTACATTATGCTTCACTGTTGGAGGTAAATCAAAAATCACTTCTCCAAAATAAAAATAAATTTTGGAGAAGTGATTTTTGATTTACCTCCAACAGTGAAGCATAATGTACGAAAGATTGAGAAAATTCGTGTTAGAATTATTAATCTTACTTTTTCGGTCATATTTAATAAAATATATATATATATATATATATATATATATATATATATATATATATATATATATATATATATATATATATATATATATATATATATATATATATATATATATATATATATATATATATATATATATGTCGTATCTAATAGCCAGAACGCACTTCTCAGCCTACTATGCAAGGCCCGATTTGCCTAATAAGCCAAGTTTTCATGAATTAATATATTTTCTCTAATTTTTTGCTTATGAAATGATAAAGGTACCCATTTCATTATGTATGAGGTCAATTTTTTTTTATTGGAGTTAAAATTGACGTAGATATATGACCGAACCTAACCAACCCTACCTAACCTAACCTATCTATATAGGTTAGGTTAGGTTAGGTAGCCGAAAAAGTTAGGTTAGGTTAGGTTAGGTAAGTTAGGCAGTCGAAAAACTATTAATTCATGAAAACTTGGTTTATTAGGCAAATCAGGCCTTGCGTAGTAGGCTGAGAAGTGCGTTCTGGCTACTAGGTACGACATATATATATATATATATATATATATATATATATATATATATATATATATAGATAGATATAGATATAGTACAGTATAGTACTATACTATACTGTATAGTAGTAAATATATATATAGTATACTATGCTATACTATACAGTACTATACTATACTGTATATATATAACTTCTGAGGAGCTGGACGAGGTCTTCGAACGCTGATTGTTATATTGTTATATATATGTGTGTGTGCGCTCTGTAAACTGTAGTACTGTATATATATGCTGTATATACAGTACTGTATATAGATTGACTGATTGTAATGTAAGTAGGTACTGTACTGTAGTAATACCCAGCTGGTGGCATGCTTCATGCATAATCATGAAGTTAAACAAAAATCCCATTTGACCTTTGCAGTGTGAAAGTATGGGCAAACATTAAAGTAAACTCAAGTAAAAATATAACAAATTTACTTCCAAAAAAGAAACCAAAAAATAAATGACTTCAAAGCTTGACATACAAATCTTGACTGCTATACGATACCAATAATAAAGAGAACACATGAAATTTAAATTTACATTAAACAATAATATTCAAGCAAAAAAGGGGCTTACGAATTAATATTCCAAACACCACAAACTGGGCACGAAATGGGTTCCGTGGATCATGGGCAGCAAGCAATGTTGAAACACCTCTGTTGAGACCACCTGCAGAGACTGACTTAAGCGAGCCAATCAGGTGCTATATATACCCCTCCTGGTGACATAACATCCTGTGCCAACACTTCCTTAAACTAGTTGCTGGTTACATTATGAGTGCCGGTACGTCTGGGTCTTGAAGAAGTTGATGGGAGGGGGGAGGATAGGAGTAGTTGACTGTCTGGACGTCTAACATTGTCTGGGACACCAAAACATACATAAATGTTGTAAATTCTTTACTTGTTGGTGATGGATTTTAGTCGTGACGAAGGTGAGAGGATAGAGGCCAGACCGTTGTTCTACCATCCAGCTACTTGGGCTGGATAGGGAGAAGAGACAAACATTCAGACCAACTGACCCAGGCAATCTCAGGTACCCCTATATCTACTTGCTCTTGCACTACCCATAGCTCTGCTATTCAACAATTCTCTAGTGTTATACTTTTCCTGATATCCTTAAAAAAGCAAGAGTGATGCAAGTTCATAAAGGATGCTAGACAGCTGACATGAATAATTATAGACCAATATAAAATCTACCTATAATTTTAAAAATATTTGAAAAAATTATTTACAAACAACTCTATTCCTATTTTGTAAAACTCAACATATTAAGTCCCCTGCCAGTTTGGTTTCCATTCCTGCAAGAGTACCAATGATGCCATTGTTAGCCTGCTTTAACACAGCCCTTGACAAAAATGAGTTCCCAATTGGCCTCTTCATTGACCTGAGAAAGGCCTTTGATACTGTAAACTATAACAACTGCTTACATAAACTTCATCACTATGGTATCTGAGGCCTTACTCTGAACTATATTCGTTCCAATCTCAGTGACAGACACCAATATGTAGCCATCAATAACATAACCTCCCCCCACTCCATCATTAACAGTAGGAGTGCCACAGGGCAGCATCTTAGGACCTCTCCTATTTCTTATATACATCAATGATTTACCAAATGTTTCTAACATTCTTAAACCTTAACTATTTGCTGACTGGAAGGTATTTGCTACCTCCCAGTCGAATAGATGAAGGTATTTGCTACCTTTATTCTGACCCCAACCCCCACACTCTAAATAATATTGTCAATAATGAATTAAAAAAAAAGTCATGGATGTCAACCAAAAAACTCACACTAAACATAGAAAAGACTTACTACGTTTTATTTGGTACTAAATCAAATTAAATTCAACTTCAGATAGACAATGTTAACATTGTCAGTGGGATTAGTGGGATTGGGTGGTTATAGAATAGGAGCTGCCTCGTATGGGCCAATAGGCCTTCTGCAGTTACCTTTGTTCTTATGTTCTTATGTTCTTAACATTACCAATAAAAATGAGGTAAAGTTCCTTGGCCTATACATTGACAAGAGCTATACATTGAACTTCAGCACCCCCATACAACACTTAGCCAAAAAGAAGCTCAAAAACGGTCAGTATACTTTCTAAAATCAGATATTATGTTCTCTACTCTGCTCTCCTCTCATTATACTATGCATTAATCTATCCCTATCTTACATATGGTATTTGTGCATGGGGTTCAGCCACTGCAAATTACCTCAAGTCCATCATCACTCATCAAAAATCTGCTATCAGAACTATAACAAACTCTTGTCTTCAGACAACACACAGCCCCTCTGTTTAAATCCCTTAACATGCTAAACATACACTCACTTCACACATTCTCATGTGCTATTTACATGTACAAAACCTTGTTCCTGAATGCTAATCCTGATCTGAAACTTTACCTTGATAAATGTAATAGAACCCCTGAGCACCACACCAGAAATAAATATCTTTTTGATATCCCCAGAGTCGAACTATATCTGTGCAAACACTCCATGCAAATAAAAGGACTCAGTCTTTGGAACTCATTCCCTGATGAATTAAAAAATTGTCCAACCTATGCCCTATTCAAAAGCAAAACTAAAAAGTTGCTAATTTCATCCTCATAGTTTCCTACTGTGCTTCAAACTCTCACTGTATCTTGTACTACCACTTCCCCAATATTAGTACTGTACTTAAGACATATCTTTACCAGTGTAATCACCTCTGTCAATTTATATTGTAGTTATTTGTTGATATAAAACGTTACTACAATGTACCTTTTTATCTTACCTGACATGTTAGATACAGGACCTGCCCGAAATGCTATGCATGTTTGTGGCTTTGCAAGAATGTACAGATACCAATCTTATGTAATATCACCTACCATTTCAAGTAGAAGGTACCTTCTTGTGAATAAATTATTATTATTATTATTATAGCTATATTATAAGAATGTCTTTTCTGTCAAAAATTGGAGGCCAGACAATAGGGACTAGCCTTACCCAAATTTGCATGGGGAATAGTTTGGAGTATGGGACAGACATAAGCTGGTCAGGGTAGGCATGTTAAATACTTAAAAAAAAATACGAGCCTGAAACTTACCCCCATGCCACATCTTTTTTTTCATGAAATCGCTTGAAGTCTTAAATTAAACCACGAATGTGATGTCTGTAGGCTTTATAGCTTACTTGAAAACAATTAACTCAATTAATTTGATTGAGTGATGAAAATAGTAGTTGGGAAGATGGTTAGTGGTGAAAATAGCTCTGTAAAATTAATGTAAGTATTTAGAGAGGGAGAGAGAGACAGACAGACAGACCCGGGCAATGCTGAGTACTCGCTCCCAGTATGTAAAATGGAAATGTCTCTGTTTCAGGTAGAAGGCCAAACATGGAGGGAGGGGGAGAAAAGGAAAGTTGAAGAGATTGGAGGGAGTAGTGGGGGATGGAAGAGGATCTAATGCCTTTCAATGGGATCTAAATGAGCACTCATTTAGGCCTTAACTTAACATTTGGTTCATCCCACAGTGCTAGTTCTGCTTACCAAAAATGGTCCACTAGATACTCAGATTAGTCGCTGAAGCTTCAGCATTCAAGCAAGCTTGGCATCTATCCTGAGGGAAACTTAAGAGGGAACCAGTCACTAGATGGCTCAGAGAGACTTTTGCCCCTATACCCAGCTCCGACAATTGATTTGCATGTCAGAATCGCTACGGACTTCCACCAGTTTCCTCTGGCTTCATCCTGGCCAGGCATAGGGATGGGAGAGGAGTGATGTGTGGAGAGGTAGAATGGGGTGGAGAGACTATCCCAGGTATTGCCACCGGGTATCCACACTAGTATATATTCTGTATACAGTACTGTATATAGAAAATGTCAGTTTAAGGATGGAAGCTAGACTCTTGGGGCTAGCCTCACCCAACTTGGCAGGGAAAATGATCTGGGGTATAGGTTGGACATACACATGTTGGGATTTGCCTAACGTCAATGATTTAAGAAATATCAGCATTTATAGAGATCCCCCTTGCAATTTTCATGGAGTCAGGTATAAATTGTTTGGTGTTTTTCCCTAAAAATTGTATTGATTCATAATATTACATTTTCTGAGAGACCTGTAGAGTCGTTTCAGTCCTTTTTAATAAATTTTCTGAGAGGGTAAGGTTTGGCGAAATTTCTATATTTGACTCAAATAACAAAATTATAATCATATATAATTCAATGAAATACCATAAAAGAACATTTTTGAAATTATGTTTTTCATGAAAACTCAGTTTGCTAGGCAACTGTGGTGTGGCATTCATTAAATTATATATACAGTATATATGTATGTATGTATGTGTGTGTGTATATATATATATATATATATATATATACAGTATATATATATATGTCGTACCTAGTAGCCAGAACGTCCTTCTCAGCCTACTATGCAAGGCCCAATTTGCCTAATAAGCCAAGTTTTCATGAATTAATTGTGTTTCGGCAACCTAACCTACCTAACCTAACCTAGCTTTTTCGGCTACCTAACCTAACCTAAAAAGATAGGTTAGGTAGGGTTGGTTAGGTTCGGTCATATATCTACGTTAATTTTAACTCCAATAAAAAAAAATTGACCTCATACATAATGAAATGGGTAGCTTTATCATTTCATAAGAAAAAAATTAGAGAAAATATATTAATTCAGGAAAACTTGGCTTATTAGGCAAATCGGGCCTTGCATAGTAGGCCGAAGTGCGTTCTGGCTACTAGGTACTGTACGACATATTATATATATATATATATATATATATATATATATATATATATATATATATATATATATATATATATGTGTGTGTGTAAATCATGAAAATTAACACGTGATGAAAAATGTGACAGTGTCAGACCACGGAGGAAGAATTGAAACAGGAATTTCCTTAAGCACTTTCATATATTAATACATCTTTAGAAGGAATGATATATAAATCAAGTACTGTATTGGACAAATATATAGGTAGGGGAGAGAGGTGAAGTGAGGTGAGGTACAATGAAAAATTAATGGGAATTAGGTGGATATAAATAAGAGCCGCATAAGAAATGCAGAAGGCCTATTGGCCCCGTATTATCCACTTAGTGATAATTGTGTCATTTATAAAATACCTTGTAAAGACTGTAATAGGTTCTATGTTGGGCAAACATCTAAAGATTTGAAATGTAGAATTTCGCAACATAAATACTGTACTCTGTAAAAACATGGTCTAATGCTTTGTTTGTTCATTTGTCAGAAAATTCTCACCAGATTGGAAGATGGCTTCTTCAATAACGAATTGTAAAATCACTTTCAATAGGAACATAATTGAATCTACTTTAATACAGATTACAAAAGAATATATTTTGAACATTAGCAGTGGTTTATATAACTTAGATCCATTTTTGATTTATCAATTAAAGGGCGATTTGAATAGGATCATTGATACACATTTGTCTCACTAATTCATTGTAAATATTTACTATCTTATGCTATTATTATCCATGTGTGGGCCTATTGGTGGGTATAAATAGGAGTTGCCTCGTATGGGCCAATAGGCCTTCTGCATTTCTTATGTGGCTCTTATTTATATCCACCTAATTTCCATTCATTTTTCATTGTACCTCACCTCACTTCACCTCTCTCTCTCCTGCCTATATATTTGTCCAATACTGTACTTAACACTTTCGCGCTCTCGGCGCTCAAAAAAAAGCAATACCCCAGATGCTTTCGGCACTTCGCCCGCCTACGCGGTAAGACCGAAAAAGTGTACACTCTTTTGACTGTCCTGACAATAATTGAAGGCGCACGTATTTAAATTTGGTATCACTGTGTTCGCAATGAAATTGTCTATAAGACCATACCTATAAAATGCCGCCCAAGCATAAGGAGTATCAACACCAAATAAAAAACTATGCAGATCACTCGCCGAGAGCGCCAAACAGCAACAAAATGTTTCCATTCTCTTAATGGTTGCGAAGCCTACAGTTG